AGGACACCGAGATATTTAATTACATCGGATCTACTCAAGGTCTCACAGGCACACGATTTGCTTGTGCAAGAAGGCTCATGAATCTTGAGTACTGTTTGTTGTGCTGGCGCAGTGACTGCTGTCTTATGAAAGCATAGGTACACAGTCTTCTTGGTATTTAGGGTCAAGAGATTATTTTGTAGCTAACTAAAGACCTGTCTTAGACCTCTTTCAGCACTGTACAAAGCATCGTTCTACGTTGAACCATGGAATACGATAGCAGTATCATCGGCGTAACATATCGTTTGGGCGTTTTCCATGGGTAGGTCATGCATATCATTGATATAGACAGTGAATAACGTAGGACCAAGTATGCTGCCTTGCGGTACACCAAAAGGTACATTTTGTGGCAGACTCACAGCCCGACCAATCTTCACACACTGTTTCCGGTCCGTGAGATAGCTCTGAAACCAATTACCGGCAATACCTCTAACACCCATAAAGTTTAATTTTTTTTAAAGTATTGGAATTGACACAGTGTCGAAGGCCTTGGCTAAGTCTAAGAAAACGCCCACACAGCTCTGTTTAGAGTCAAGTATTGATGATATCGTAGATGTTAAAAGGGACACAGCATCTTCAGTACTTCGACCTTTTCTAAAACCGAATTGTCCTGGCGAAATCAACTGTCAAGATTCCAAATATCCGGTTAACCTTTTGTTTACAAGCTTCTCAAGTAGCTTTGAAAAGACACCTAATAGCGAGATGGGCCTATAATTTTCTACAGCTACCTTTGAGCCACATCCTTTATAAATAGTACAAACAGATGCAAGTTTCCAATTATATGGAAAAACTCCGCTTTCTAGGCTTAGGTTGTAGATATAGGTGAGTGTCAGGATGATCGAATCTTTTATATGTTTTATTAAAGAGTTAGCTAAGCCATCCATACCAGGAGCCCTGTCATTCTGTAATCCCATAATCATAGCACTAACTTCTTTGGGATCAGTGGGAGTCATGAAAAATGATTCTGTGAAGTTACAATTTACTCGTATTTTACTAGCAAGATCTTGCTCAGTTTTATTAAGATATTACGTTTAATTACACAAGATCCCAGACTCAGTGTAAGACGAATAAGCAATATGCTTAATTTAACAAAATGGTCAGTGTGGAGAGTTTTGAAGAGGAAAGGTTTGCATCCTTTGTACCATTTTCGGCGGGTACAAGACATTCGCGAACCTGATTATGCTATAAGGGCAGTTTTTTGTTCGTGGATCAATAGAAGAACAAGACAAGATGCAGATTTTTTAAAAAGAATTTTGTGGACTGACGAAGCCACTTTCACGAGATCGGGTTATACAAATCACCGTAACGAGCCTCTGTGTTTCAAGAAAACCCTCATGCTGTTAGAGAAAGTACTTTCCAACATGAAATTCGAGTGAACGTTTGGGCTGGAATAAAAGATGATATTTTAATTGGGCCGATAATTTTACCAGAAACTATGAATGACCCAAGATTTTTAGAGTTTTTGCAAACACAGTTTTTGGAAGAATTAATGGAGCTTCCATTAACTCAAGGATGATTCTGCAACTTGACGGTGCACCTGTACATTTTGCAGTAAATGTGAGAAATTATTTAAATGAGCGCCATTCTCCGTGGATTGGTCGCGGTGGAGGGATCGCTTGGCCTCCGCGTTTACCGGATTTAACTCCCTTAGACTTTTTTCTATGGGGCACTATGAAGCAAAGAGTTTATGCGAACGTGCCAAACTCACGAGAAGAGTTGATTAATAAAATAATCGAATTTGGAAATTAATTGCGACAAGATCGGAAGATGATCAGACGTGTGTGCAATAAGGCATTGTGTGGCAATAAGGGCTACAACATGTCTCCAACATCGTGGAGGTCATTTCGAACAGTTTTTATAAATAACTTTTTAGTTACGTGCATTTTGAAATGTTGTGTTTCATTCTTCGCATCAATTCACTTTGTCTGTCTGCAACCAGGGCGACAAATTTTTCAAAGGTCATATTCAAACAGTTATAATACTGATTTTTTTTTGGTTATAATTAAGATTTTTATGTTTTTGGTTAGGAAATGTTCTGATCTATCTGATTAATGTAAAAAATCATTAGGTAAATGACTTACTTTTTTCATTAAAGTCGAAAATGTGAAAAAATAACCGAATTTTTTTTACATTTTTTTTCTTTTCTTAGTCTTTTTAGGATCTAAATACAACTTTGCAGTTAAAAGTTTGCTTTTATTTTATTACGCGTATCTTTATCTATCCAATGAGACATATTTTAAGAATGTAAGACTTCTACATCGGTGAATATTGTAATTTTAATGCGCGGGGTCGAGGTGGTGACACTGAAAAATTTAAATGGCTGCCATTTAAATACAGCTAGGTCTAAATGAGATTTGAGACATGATTTGTCGATGAAATTGATTATATTTTATAGCATTAAAAGCTCCGACACCGGTAACCGGACACATTAACCATAATGTATAATTATTAATGAACCCTCTTCTTTGCACGTCCTTCCATTCGTCATTCTTCTTCATTCCAATTTTACAAGATAAATTCAGAAGCTCGTCTATGAGACTTGTCTTAACTAAAGTTGAAGTCGAAAATGTAAAGGAATATTTGTAACAAGAAATAATAAAGAACCACCACGAAGGTAAAACCAACCATCGCGGTATCAATGAGTTTCCTAGCCCTTTCCAAACGATATTAATGAGAGAACACATTACGAAATATATTAATGAATGCACATATCATTTAAGAGACGGAACAGCATCAAGGTCTTCCTTTACTATTGTCCGCGACAATGGGAACGAATTTACGCATCAGCTATTTACTGAGTTAGTGTATAATCACACAAAATTAACCATCATAAAACATTAACCCACTGTTCTAATGACAACGTTAACATAGAGCGGTTCCACTCGACTATAGTGGAACATCTGCCAATCCTAAAACCACAAAAAAAGACGAGTATGTAGTAAACCTAATGCCATATGCTATCTTGGGATACAAGAGTTCTGTGCACAGTTTTACTAAATGTAGGCCGGCCATATGATATTGTCAATGAACATTTCAACCCTAGAGGCCCAATCGACATCAACTTGACAAAACACTACAGCAATACATACTAACACACTGAGGACAAATGAAAACAGTGTAATAAATAATTAACGAACATTCTTTACTCGAACGTTCAGCACTAATAAATAATCGGAATCGCTGTAACCAGAAGTTGCATACCAACCAAACCAACAAGTTTTTATTTCCAACCCCCTAGCTAACCGACAAAAATTGGCCCCACGTCACACCCATGACCATGTTTTAGCCTGACTTACCAATACACATTTACACGTCTAGGAAACGCGGCCCGATAGGGAAGTCTAGACTTAAGAAGCGTGTACCTAAAACTATCTCACATTTCTTCAATATGTAAAACTTGACGACATCAGAGACAAAGTAAGCTTATTGCAGGTACAGCTACAGAACTACAAGAACAAACCTGATAATGACACCAACTTACTATACGAATTGCACATAGACTATCTTTAATAAAACTAAATCATTTAGAACCCATTCGCACGTAGAAAGGTCTAGTAGACGGATTAGGCTCAGTGATCAAAAGCGTAAGCGGTAATCTAGATTATTTAGATTCCGCGAAATATAATAATGCCATAAAAGTTTTGAAGGATAACCAAGATAGGATTGAATCAGAATTCAATAGTCACATTAGCATTAGTAAGTAGTGGGTGGATGTTGCAACATAATAATGTAATATCCCAGATAACTGAAAATGAAAACAAAACTAACTCAACACTTTCCAAATATTAGATAGAGCTGCTTATAGAGATAGTAACCTCATCGAGTATGTGAAGTTTACCCAACTCCTAAAAATTTTAGCAGAAAATATCGATGCTTTGCTCTATCCACCAATCTATTATTCCACCCTATCCTCTAACAGCAACTAATAGAGAAAAAATCGTGTACAAGGAGACAAAATGTCCGAAGTTGAGTAATCGGTACCTATGCGAAAAGGAAACGAACACCCAAATTGGAACACAATCCGACTGCATCCAGAATCAATCAGTCTATAGAAAAATCCTGTAAGATAACCGACATCGCGCTATCAAAAGAAGCCATGGAACGGCTTGACGACAAGCACTACACCACCTCCTTCTCCTCTCCCATTCTCCTCAAGCAACTAAGATCCATATAGTATGCGGGCGTGAAGACATAACTATATTACATGGTAGTTACTTAGCCGCAATACCAATTAATTGCTTCCTGCAAACACAAGACTAATATTAACGATAAAGTAGAAGGCCATCCCCTAAAACTAATGAAAATACCAATAGATATAAACGCAAATTTAATCAGCCTTCTACAAGTACAGGAAGTCCAAAATATGTCTGTTGATAGTGACTCAGATAATGTGGTATATGTTGAAAAACTTATTGAAGACGATCCGACAATAATTGCAGTTAAAATACTGCCTACCACGACGACGACGACATCTTCATGACATACGAAACAGAGAAAGAACCATCGACGTCTACACTTTTCGAAAATGTCAATAAAACTTCCTATGACTTTGGAAACTTCACGAACAAGACATAGAGTGATAAAGAAAAACGCTTAATTCTTGATATGGGACCGTTACAGCCTTCAGGACCATTTCCTAAAGATCCTCACCAGAACAACAGGTGTTTTTCAACATCGTATTATGTTTCAATTTCTAAGTATCGACCAGTTAATCGTTTTTGGCTGTGTTATTCCGAAATTCTAGATGCTGCTTATTGTCAACCTTGCTGGTTGTTTGCTTCGCAAAGGAACAATTTATGGTGTACAGGTAACCGGGACTGGAAGCACTTATCAGAAAAAATTAAAGAACACAGTTTCTCGAGTGACCATTCGGAAGCATGTGCTGTGTACAAACTTTGGAAAAAGAATGATACTATCGACAAGTTGAAAATGAAGTTCGTAAAGAAGCGTCATTCTGGAAGATGGTTCTTACAAGGTTATTCGATATCATACTCATCCTAGCAAAAAATTCATTGACTTTCAGAGGCCATCGAGAGAATTTAAGTCAGGAAGAAGAATACCACGGAAACTTTTTGGCCGTTGTTGAGCTTGTCGCTCGATATGATCACATTTTGCGGCAAGTTTTGGATATGCCCAAAGGTAATCATATTCCCTTCTAAAATTTTGTTAGCATTTTAGTTTTTAATTGTTTATATTCCTATGCATTTTTAAAAACATACCTCTTTGTTTTTAGGATCTACAACATACCTAGGTAAGTCCAACAATACAAAATGAAATGATAGTGCTTAGGAAGCAAACATGAAAATAGTCTGCTAGAACAAATTAGAGCATCACCGTTTTTCGCCATAATAATGGACACTACACAGGATATATCGCAGATAGATCAGCTAAGCATTATTCTAAAGTATGCGGTAATAACCAGATCGGAAAATGGACAACCAGTCGATGTAGAAATAAGAGTAGTATTTTTAGGCTTTTATGCAGCTATCAAACATGGCGCAGCAGATTTAGTCAAACAAGTGACTACATTATTTATTCACAAAAATATTAATTTAAAAAAGTGTGTGGGTCAAGGTTATAATGAAGCGAGTGTGACAAGTGGTATTTATAATGGTGTACAAAACAAATTAAGAATATTCAGCGAAATGCGAAGTATGTACATTGCGCAACTCATAATTTGAACTTAGTGATAAATGATGCCATTAGCAGTTGTATAGAAATACAGATTTTTTTTGCAACAATGCAACACATTTATAAATTTTTTGGGAATAGCATTAAGCGTTGGGATCTACTGCCGAAATTCACTGGCAAATCAGAAACCACTCTAAAAAAAATAAACCCCACTAGATGGTCTAGTAGAATTAATACGATATCTGCCATGAAACTTCGTTTTTTGAAATAATCAAGGCATTATCAGATATAGTAATAAAGAGTTCCAGGAAAGATGAGCGCAACGAAGCATAACCTATTAAAAGAAAAATGCTAAATTTCGAATTCGTATTGCTTTGTGAATTCATGCACCAAATATTGAATGACATCAATTATGCACCCAAAATTGTACAAAAACGCGACATAGATTTAAACGAGGCAAGTAGAACTTTAGCAGAGGTTAAATCAAAATTATAATTTTATAGAAATGACTTCGAATCATTAAGTGCAAAGAAAGTGAAACTGCAAAAAAAATGATATAGATCTCAATTTTCACGAAAAACGGCAAAAGAACGTTAAAAAGCATTTTGATGAACTAGCTTCCGGCTACCGATTTCAAAACAGGGAAGAAATATTTAAAAATACTATTTTTAATAATGTACTAGATACAACAATAGCTCAATTAAATACACGTTTTACTGGCATGAGTGCAGTCTGTCAAATATTTACTTTCCTAACACCATCATTTTACTCAATGTAGATGAATAAAGAATATTAAATAAAATATATAAATAAATGAAGCTACTTTATTACAAAAATGTGATCAATTCCAAAGTAAATATTCGGATTTAATAGACCCTAATTTTTCACTACAATTTATTAGTTATCACCTTGTTCTACCTAAATTGACCCCGACATGGACTGTACAACAATTATGTAAGGAAATTATAACTAAATATGCTATGCTAGAATGCGATATTACGGAAGTGTTTACCGCAATTTTATTATTTTATGCAATACCTGTCACTTCGGCAACAGCTGAAAGCAAAACATTTAGCAAATTAAAAATAATGAAAACTTATTTAAAGAATAGTATGGGTCAAGCTCGTCTCCGACATTTAGCACTCATAGCAATCGAAAACAAAGCCGATTCTTGTCTAGATTTAACGGTAGTTATTGATAATTTTTCAAAAACTAAAGCCAGAAAAAGATTGTAAAATAAATTGTTAAAACAAAATTGTCTACTTCGTTTATTTGTCTCCTTATTTTCTATTCTATTTTTACTAGCTTTCGCCCGCCACTTCGTTCGCCTTTTATCGGGATAAAAGAATCTTAAGTCCTGCCCAGGTCGAGCTCCATCCATCCATGTGTAAAATGTCATCCAAATCCATTCAGTAGTTTTTACGTGAAAGCGTAACAAACAAACAAACTTTCACATTTATAATATTATTAGGAAATACGATTAAATATTATCTGTTGCGTCACATAAAATACTTGATGGTAATAAGTAGCTTTGCTTTATTATGCCCTGCAGTAGGCGACAAAGAGCTAATGATGAAGTAGTTTTGCACCTTTAAAGTATTTAGTTTAATTTAAATGGGGCCCCAATTTCATTTTTGCCCCCGGGCCCTTTGTTACCTAGCTACGCCACTAGGTGTAAATTGAAACAGGTTTTTGGGGGATACATTTTTATTTCTTTCCTTCATTTCGTGCGATACTCAGGTGAGAGTTCGATAGTGTGATTGCCACGTGTTGGTGTCACAGACTCAGTTGCGTGTGAAAAAATTAGAGGTCATTAGGACAGTAAAGAGTTACCTATTGTTTTTTCTTGGAGTTTTTTTTTATTTCTTAAATATTTGTCATTACGTTTTGGTTTTAAATGTGACTGATAGATTTTTCTTTGTGTAGTCGTTAGTTTGGTTTGTCTTATCTTTAAAATAAAATGAGTGGTACAGGAAGTAATTCGATTGTAAAAAAAGCAAAGTAAAGCAAAAAATAGAAAAAAAAGCAAAAGGAAAAGAAGGGAGGAAAGAAAATGTTTTATAACGTATTCCAAAACTGCAAACACATTTTACGAGCCCTGAGAACAAGGACAAAATGGCCACAAGTTCAGCACTACAACGGTCTGTTCCTACAGTCCTCCATTCAGCACTATCTCGAAGGTAGTAACGCCAACCATCATCAACGAAGTGAAAAAGTATCTTACTGGCGAAACGTATTTACTACGTGTAGTTGAAACAGTAAAGTTTTAGCTGCTCGCGGGCTTTCATTCCACGATCAAAATGAAGTTATTGGATCTTTACAAAATAGAAATTGCCCTGGCTGTATTGAGCTCATATCTAAATTTGATCCTTTCATGGCTGCACATTTAGCAAGATTTTGACATAGAGATAGTGGTACTCATGGTATCATCTACGATAATTTATGAATTCATTCTATTGCTCACTGATGAAGTTCGACTTTTCATTATAGCAGAGGTAAGAAAAGCAAAATATTATTCAATCAGCATAGATTCTACTTCAGATATTTCACCGATGCATTGACTTTTACAATTCGTTACGTTTTGCCTGATGGAGATCCCGTCGAACGCCTTGTGGAAGTTTTACCTAATTGCGGACATGAAGGTGAAGACATGGAAAAAGCTGTTCTAGAGACAATTGATGAAACTTTGCAACTTGATATTAAAGATTGTCGTGGTCAAAGTTATGATAATGCCAGCAATGAAAGTGAATAGCTTTTGTCCCATGTGCAGCCCATTCTCTACAACCGTAGGATTGGCAGCGGCAGAGAGCAGCGATGATTGAACTGCTTTTTTTTCGTTAAAGCAACAAATATATTTTTTTCTAATTCGACTAACAGATGGAGTCTTGCTATCAAAACGCGAAAAAGATTCGTCAGTTGAAAAACCTCTCGATAACTCGATGGACTGCCCGAGCAGACGCCAGTAAAACCTTATTTTTCAAAACCAAAATTCTTACAAGTATGTGCTTGCAGCATTATACTACATTTGTGAAGATGTAAATCAAACTAGAGAAACCAAAATGGAGGCAAAGAGGAATAGTAGAAAAATTTAAAACCCTAGAAATTACGATAATGTTATGTTTTTGGAACTCTCTGCTGGTCAAGTTCTAAGTGATTAGCTTCAAGTAGGTTATGTTGATTCATCCAATGTTGGGAATATGAATCATTACATTCACATCTTGACACGTTCCGTGACGGAAAGAGTTTGGAAATTTGAAATCCGAAGCAATCGAGAAGTACGAAGTCGTTGAGTATAAAAAAGATTTAAGAAGAAAAAAGAAACCGAAATTTCATATTGATGAAAAATGAGACATACGAAATTTGAAGGTAGACGATCTTTCATTGTTTAAAAAATATTACGCTGCCATTGATTGTCTAAAAGTACAGTTGAAGACCGACAAATTATTTATAGGTACTTAAATATATACAAAATTTGGTTTCATACGGAAATTACTTGAAATAAATGACAATAACAGTAGAAGAAAAAAGGCTAGAGTTGCAACAACTATATGACCTAGATATAGAAGATACGTTTGCTGACGAGTGTGTCATTTTGGCACAGTTTTTAAAAGATAAAAGAGTTGAACAAAGTACATAAATTGACCCGAAAGAGTATGCTACAATTATTAAGAAGCCTAAACATTGGTTCCATTTTCCATTTTGTAGAAATTTTTTTTAATGAGCAACACAAATTGCAGTGGAGAACGATCTTTCTCTGCATTCGGACGAGTAATAAATTACTTGCGCTCGATTCTTCGCCAGCAGAAACTCGTAGCACTGCACTATTATTTATTGATAACTTGATTGATAAAAATTGATTTTTTACAAAACGTCTAATTTTTTTGTTTGGTTTTGGAAAGATTCGCTAGAGAGAAAGCAAGAAAATGGAGTTTTGTGTAACGTTCTCAATAAATAATAAAGCGAGTGCCGCAAGTATTTTATTTGATACTTCTTCTTTATAATTCATAAGAAATAAATAAAGAGATATTAAAAATGAGTTTCAATTATTTGGTGCCTTTCCTCTTTCGTTGACCGACTAGCTGTATTCAAAGATTTTAAATTACTGAAGCTTTTTTCTCTACCATAATTTAATTATTTACTATAGATAATGCCTGTAATATTTGATAATAATGTATTATTATAATGTAGTATTAAAACAAAACTAATTCTATACACATATGTATAGTATAAATATGAAAGAACTCAGTCAGTCAGTATGACTGTCTGTTACCTTTATACTCCTGCTGAGCAGATTTCGATAAGGCAATGAGATAGACTGATAGCATCCTGAAGAAAGACCTTTTGCCGTGGGAAAATACCTTATTCTCAATGGAAAACTTGTGTAGGCGAAACTGCGTGGCGGAAAACTAGTAAAATATAAAAATCTTGTAGGTATGGCAGCATGATTCTGCAGGCACAGAAGAATAGGATAGGGCCACAGGGGGGGCCCATTCGTAGCTAATATCTGCTAGCCTAGGGCTGTCCGAACTCTAAATCAAGCACTGTATGGGGTAGTGGATATTCTGACTTCTGACACTGCCACTACACGATGAACTTAACGAATCAAAAAAAAGAAAAAATACATACAGTCCTTCCTACCTACAGTCACAATCCTTCTTACATTATTATTCTTTAAAAAAATAGATCGTTTTGAAAGAGGGAACAGGGGAATACGGAATAATATACATAAATAACATAAATTTGTCATAGATGTAATTAGTTCGAGATGCAATTGTTTCTCTCGATTGTCTAGCTTAGTCGTTCGGGCACAGCGCAACAACAATAGCATAGTTAACCCTAGAAGCCTTATCTGCGCCTACGAGGCGTACACGCATTCGGAAATTGTCTATCTCTTTCTAACGGGTTCTTTTTAGCGGTTCGTCCGACTTAGCCAGGGTTGCCAACCGTAAGAGGTTCCTCGTACAAATACGAGTTTTGTGGTCTTCCGTACGAGGTACGAGGACACTATCAACCTCGTACAATTATGTACGAGATCTTGATAATATGAGTCGAACATTTTACATCACTATTATAAAATAGTAAAAACTAGTGCCATCTGTCAGAACTTGAAGGAACTTCTTGTACCAAAAATTTCATTGCCGCATTTACGCGATGATTGTCTATGGTAGCCTAAATCAGACTTGGCTGTATGGGCCCTTTGCCTGTCCCAAAGAGGGACGAAAGGAATAAAAAAATCTATGGTAGCTATCCCGTCAACCGGGAAACGGAAATCCCCGACTAAAACATTTCGTTCTTCGCATTAGTCGTCTATGTCACACATAGCGCAAATTTCTACTTTCTCTGGTCCTTACACGTTCCGTTCGTTGCATGCCGGCCGTGTTTAGTTGTACTAAGATATTACGTGCAGCTAATTGAAGTTTTTATAAAAAAGATTTTACTGTTAAATACCTAGTCTCTTCGTTGTTTCGTCCATTGTTTAGTGGTGTAATAGAAGTATCGTTATGAGTGATAACGACGAAAACAGTAACCGTTCGCCTACTTTGACTCCGCCTAGAAAATTACCCAAAAAAGGTGGTTGGACAAAAAAAAGGAAGGTCATTACCGCAACATCGTGTACAAAATTTTAGACAGCAATGGTTAAACGATCCGACTTTTAAAGACTAGCTTTTGCCAGACAATAATGGAACATCAATGGTAGCTGAACTATCCAATATGTTTATATGGATGGCTATATGTATATGTGTGTGTATATGTGTTTAAGTATATATTTATGTTTACAGACTATAAATAAAATGAGGAAGACATTTAAAGTAAAGAAAGCTTTGTAAAGTCAGCCGTGCACTAATTCTGTTTTTGTTAATATGTGTATATGGCTCTCACGATACAGGTCTGCGAGCCTAGTGTGAGAACCACTGTTAAATTATTTGTAAAGGTGCTAACTGTCAAATAAAGTATTTTCATTTCATCCAATTTAAAAACTCATGCCTCTACCAAGAAACACCTAGGCAACAAACCTGGAGTGGAAAAACACAAACATTGACATCGCTTGGATTCCAAAGAGGTATAACTCCACAAAATAGAGAATAAGCTCGTGCAGAAACTAAACTTGCTGCTTTTTTTGCGTAGCACAATATAGCATTCTTGGTTGCTAACCATTTGACAGATTTATTAAAAGAAGTTGTGAGGGATTCTAAATTAATCAAAGAAATTGAACTTAAACGAACCAAAATTACAGGTGTGGTAAAGAACGTTCTTGGAGAAGGTCATAAAGCAGATTTAGCCCAAAAGTTACAAAAAAAATCAGTTTTCGGTGATGACGGACGAAACGACCGATGTTTCTACGGTCAAAACTGCTTGCGTTGTGGTACGCTATTTTGATAAAGAAGCTCAAAAGATATGTAGCGCATTTTGAGAGCTATACAAAGTTTTTAAGGAAACACCTGATGCTTATGATATTCCTACTGCCAATGTCGAGAATTTATACAGAGCTCTTATTGATTCATTAACTAACTGTAATGTTCCATTGACAAATGTGATCGGCTTTGACTCAGATGGGTGTAATGCCATGATGGGTAATAACGACTCGGTAAAAACAAGGTTATTACGCGATTTTCCAGGAATCACAATCACGAAGTGCGTTTGTCACTCGGCCCATTTGTGTGCCAGTGAAGCCTGTAAACAGTTGCCTGAAGGTGTGGAACAATTGACTAAGAGATATCTACAACTTTTTTAAACATAGTGATAAACGGCTATTTGATTTTCGTAACTTCCAGTCGTTTGCTGCAATGGAGCCTCACATAATTCTAAAACCATAACAGACAAGATGGCTTTCCTTATTATCAGTGGTTGAAAGGGAAGAACAGCAATGGGAAGCCCTACGTCTTTTTTTACCGATTTACGACAAATCGTGCACATAGAGTAAGAGCCGATAAGGAATCGAGCAGTATTTATTCTCAAAAAACTCAGCAACCCATTCTACAAACTTTATTTCTGTTTCCTTGAATGGTCGCTCCCTTTATTCAATAGGTTCAATCTGGAATTTCAAAGCGAGAAAGTAGTTGTTCACAATCTACATGAGAAAATTAGTACACTCTACCAAGAAATTCTATTGCGTTAGTTACAATGCGAATATGTCATGAAGCGAAATCGTGCTGAAATAAACCCTGAAAGTCAGCGACATCAGCTCCATAACGTTGCACTGTATCTTGACGTCAAAGCTCTTGAAACATCCAGATGTGATCAGAAAGCCTGCAGATATTGCACCGTTCTTCTCATGCTGCAAAAATTTCTACAAAGTTGCAGCCACCGAAATTAAAAAAACGACATAACATGGAAGATCCTGTCTTGTCAAATCTACAAGTTTTTGAGCCTGCATCAGCGCTTTCCTACAATTTGAGGAGCAATTTCCCTACACTTATGCCTCTTTTGGAAGTGGTCCTCCGTATAATCGCACCAGCTGATCATGCAAACAAACAAACAATCGAGAATCAATGGAAGAGTTTGCCAAATGCACAAGCTCGTCATCCTAAAGGGTTGAATGAAATTAGTGAGCCGGATAAGGTTTGGGCTCAGTTACTAAAAACTGAAGACTTTTTAGAGCTAGCTCATTTTGCCTTATCTACACTGTCCCTACCCTGCGAGCGGGTTTTTAGTAAAGTCAATTTAATAAAGACAGAGATACGAAACCGGCTAACTGTAGAAACAGTGAACGGCACACTTCTTGCTGCAGAGAGCGCAAAAGGTTCAACTCGTACTGGAAACTGCGTCAATTTTGAACCCACAAAAGAAATGTAAAGCCACATTTTTTGTATAGGATAGGGTGACAAACGAGCACAGCCCACCTGATGGTAAGGGGTTGTTGTGACCCATAGACATCCACCTCTATCCTCAATAAAGAATAAAAATGCAGATGCGTTGTCACCCGTGTGGACTAAGATGGAAAGCCTCTTTTCCAGTAAAAAGGGTCTCCGGTTCTCTACACTCACCATACGAAACACAACAGTGTTAAACTGCTATTTTACGCTGGTATTCTGTGAAAGCCCGGTCCTTCTCCGGTCGAGCCGACCTATTTGTGCTACAACTATACTACTAATATAGCTGTAGCAAGGCTCTACCACGTATAAAAACATGACAAATGATAAAAAATACGGCAGAAAAAACGATGACAGTGAGGATGCTCCCGACATAATATTTGGAAAGGAGATGTAAACTAAGTTACCTTTGCCTTTTTGTTACATTTTAATTGTCGTAATAATATAGACACATTAAGTGTTTTTTTTTTTTGTGATTTTGCTTGAGTAATAATAAAGATTTTTTAAACACTTATAAACTTGAAATAGTTTATTTCATTGAGTAAAAGCCCTAAATCCAGTAGTTCAATATACCTTAATTTTGGTTTTAGCACGTTTTCGATGTTTAATAAATGTTTGTTTTTTTTTTTTATAAAGGTTAGAAAGTCAAAATACGAGATTTTTAGCTGCCTAAGTACGAGGGAATATTTTTTACTGTTGGCAACCCTGGGCTTGGCCAACTCAGTGGCCGCTGGGAGCTTGCCGATAGTGCCCGTATCGTTAACCCTTTAATGCATAATGATGTACTGTGAATGTGAATGTAGATATACATTCTTTGTTTTGGCAACATTTTCTTTTTTATGTTAAAAACTACCTAAATATTTCCAACACTTTTATACACTAGCAACATTATTAGATGACTTCTGAACGAATCATAAAATTTTTGACAAGTTTTTTTTTTTTTTATTGTCATTTCATTATTCACTGCTCCCGCCTTTTGCATCACTTCGTTTTCGCAAAGTTTTTGGAATTCGTGTTTTGAGAATCAATATAAAATAAATTATATAAAAAATTGACTTCTACAAAGAACTAAGGTAAGTGTATTAAATTATAATCATAGTTTGGTCGAAACTGCAATAATTTTACGAAAAATTGTATTTAAAACAGTGATGTAGAAATACATCGTCATGCAAAATCGGTCTCTTTTAACCACTACTCTTTCGGTTACCATGTGTGAATTTATAGATTTTATAATCTTTTATTTTTTCTCATTTTGTGCGATCTAGAGGTGATTATAAGTACATCTTAGCAAATTTTAGTTGTATGGTTTAGTTTACTTTCATTGTATAAATTAAACTATTGGCGATACTTATGTTATAACTGCAATTCAATATTACAGAATGTCACTTCGAGATAGAGATATAGAAGATCTATTGTCTGCTTTGGAAAGTGGTGATATTTCCGATGATGGCCTGGAAGACGAGGATGATGATGAGGAACGTTTTTATAGCAATGTTCGAGAAATTATCCACGATTTAGAAGAAGAGAACGTCGATACTCCTAATGATGATAACGATCCTCCACTTGTTCAGGATGTAGAGGCAGATCCTGTGCACGAGTCTGAACCTAGGGAAGGAAATCAAAATTTATTGAATTCTTGTTTCGACAAAAGAAAACTTATTTGGAAAACAGACATTTTAGTTTTTGACGAATCTAATCTTACACATAAAGCCAGTGTTACAGACCCTGAGAACGCTGACCTCGATACACCATACAGGTGCTTCCTACATTATTTCACGCCAGAATTCATTAAAAAAATAGTAAATGAAACAAATTTGTATGCCACGCAACAAAATCCTACAAAATCATTTTCAATAAGTGACGCCGAACTAAAAAAATATCTAGGTATCTTATTATTTATGTCTGTTGAACATTTTCCCAGTGTCCGCTCCTATTGGAATGAGAAGTTTGGTTACGACCCTGTTAGGAAAGTTAGGCCAGTTAACCGTTTTGAGGCTATTAGAAGACACACTTCAATGACAATAACAAACATCTTCCAAAGGAGCATCCAGACCATGACCGCTTACATAAGATTAGACCTGTAATAGACCAGCTGAATAAAACTTTTTCTTCAATAGCCATAGACCAGCGCCTTTCCATCGATGAGCAAATGTGCTCTACGAAAATTTTCCACTTTTTAAAACAGTATATGCCAAAAAACTATTTACAAATATTATAGGGTTACAAACTATTTGTTTTATGTAATCTCATGGGCTATGCATATCGTTTTGAAGTATATTCTGTCCAAGAAGACAAAAGAGACCGACAAGCAGACGAACCAGATTTAGGCGTAACAAGCAACGTTGTACTGCGATTGGCTAGAGTTGTTCCAAGGATGGTCAACCACATCATATTTTTTGACAATTTTTATACCTCATTGCCTTTGATGTTTCATTTGGCTAAACAAGGCATTCACAGCCTTGGAAGTGTACAGCAAAATAGGCTCCCAAATTGTCGACTCCCTGACAAAAAGGAATACATGAAGGCGAATGTTTCTAGAGGTGCATATCAAGAAAAAATTACTCACTACGATGGTGTCGACTTTTCAGCAACTGCATGGAAAGACAACAAAGTTGTCACGCTTTTGTCTACATATGTAGGTGCTGAACCTGCCACAACAGTCGGTCGGTACGATAAGAAGACTAAACAAAATATAGATATACCCTGTCCAAAGATAGTCGAAGAATATAACATTACACATGGGGGGAGTGGACTTGATGGACAGCTACCTGGGACGCTATCGCATACGCATAAAGAGCCGAAAATGGTACATGCGCCTCTTTTCCATCTTTTAGACCTCGCCGTTATAAATTCGTGGGTTCTTTTGAAAAAAAATTGCACAGCAAAGGGTATTCCTGAGAAACAGCTTCCAAATCTTGGAGAGTTTCGTAACATCTTGGCCGATGCACTTTGTAACGTGGGAACATCAAATGGTGCTAAAAGAGGGCGTCCCACTAATGTGGACTTGGAGCGTGAACATGCCAAGAAGCCAAAGAGTCCGGGTCATCCAGTCCCCTGCAAGGATATACGAACCGATGGAGTCGAACACTGGCCTATCTTTTCAAATAGATTACGGTGCAAAATACCACAGTGCAAAGGTACTACGCAGTGGGCATGTTCAAAGTGTAACGTACCTCTGTGTCTGAACTCACGCAATAACTATTTTAGAGATTTTCATAAATAACTCGCATACTAGTAATAAAAAGCTACTAGTACAATTACTAGTAGCTTTTTATCGCGACATGTGATGTAGATATACATCATTATGCAATCATAATGATGTATATCTACATCACATGTTTTTTTTTCTAAATATATATATGATTTTTAATAAGATTTTTTTCTTTATTTTTCCCTTAATATTTGTACATTTTTCCATCTGTCTCTTCCATTTTTTTAAAGCTAGTAAAAAAATCATGCATTAAAGGGTTAAGGTAAGTCCCGCCAATTTCGACTGATTGACATGTAGTAAGGTTACGAGGCGTATGTTTAGCCTTTGTGTAACTTTTAACTTTGATTGTATGATTATGCGATTGTTCGTTTTTTGTGGTTATATTGGCGTTGTTTCAGATAAAATATGTCACAATCAAAGCGGCTAAACAATGCCGATGTTTTGACGATCTTAGACGAAGAAGATCTTGGTTTTCTGGGAGGATCAGCGTCAGAAGACGAGGATAATCAAGCTGTGGATGATGTTCAAAGTGAAGATGAGAACGACTCTGTTACTGAGGAAGTTTTCGCTTTACAATCTGCTCCCACTGAAGAAACTGTATCAACACCTGCTGCACCAGCGCACCTATCTACTCCTGCTCATTCTACGGGTTATGACAGCTCAGGACGTATTTATCTGTCTCCAGAAATACTCTTCGCGGTAAAAATGGACATGTTTGGTCAACTACCAAGGGTTAATCATCTCAGAGAACTTCAGTTATGAATATAGTCCGCACCGGTAGAGGACCAACTTGTATGTGTAGCCACGTTTTTGAATCTTTTCACAACTGATGAAATCATATCCGAAATTGTTAAGTGGACCAATGTTGAAATGATCTCTAAAAAACAAAATTTGGGAAAAATTACAGCGACTCATAAATACACCACAGATTCAGAGATTCATGCGTTTATTGGATTATTGACTCTAACCACAATCATGAAGGATAATCGTAGATCAGATCTCAACAGACGAATTGTTTGAGCCCACATTTTCCGACTCGCGTTACATTACAGTGTTGAGTAAAGAACGTTTTGAATTTTTAGTAAGATGCTTGAGGATGAATGAAAAGACTTTGCGACCAACTCTACGAAAAAACGACGCATTTGTACCTGCCAGAAATGTTTGGGAACTATTTATAAATTAATGTCGGATCAACTATGTGCCTGGATCGGAGGTAATAATTGATGAACAGCTGCTCGGATTTAGAGGAAGATGACCATTTACATTCCGAATAAGCCAGACAAATATGGAATAAAGTTTCCTATGATGTGTGATGCTACCTCCAAATATATGATTGACGCCGATCCATATACAGGCCGGAGCACAGATACTTGAGGAGTGCCGATTGGTGAATTTTACGTGAAAAAACTGTCGAAGACTATTCATGGAACGAACAGGAACATAACATGCGATAACTGGTTTACATCAGTGCCACTGGCCAAAAGTTTACTTTAACAGCCGTACAAGTTGACTATAGTTGGCACTATTCGATCAAACAAGCGGGAAATCCCAGAACAATGTAAGAACTTGAGGTCTCGTCCTGTTGGTAGTTCTATGTTTTGCTTTGATGGCCCCCTGACGCTTGTATCTTATAAACCAAAGCCTGCAAAGATGGTGTATCTCTTATCATCTTTTGATGAAAATGCGGTGATTAATGATTCAAGAGGCAAGCAAAACATGATTCATTTCTACAACCAGTCTAAAGGAGGAGTAGATTCCTTTGATCAAATGTGCTCATCAATGTCGTGCTGTCGATAAACCAATATTTGACCAATAGCTGTATTCTTCGGCATCTTGAAAATGACTTTTGTCAACTCTGTTGTTATTTACGACCACAACATGATCAAGAACAACAAAAAACCCTAAATAGGAGAGGAGAGAATTCATGAAACAGCTCAGCACAGATTTGGTCAAGCCTTGGATGGAGATGAAACTGAAGCGCCGACTTTGAAAAGATGTTTGCGAGAAAACACAAGCCAAATTCTAATAAAATCTACTGATTCAAGTAATGAAGTTCAGGAGGGAGAACCTGAACCCAAAAAACGTAAATACTGCGCTTTTTGCTCTTACAAAAAAAGAGCATGTCTAAATTAGTGTGTTTTAGGTGCAAAAAGTCAGTATGTAGCGAGCACAAAGTTTATGCGTGTGTAGACTGCTCTAAGCTTTAAGATACTCTTTGAAAGTCTGATTTAATTTAATAATTTTGCTAAGACAGTCATTAACAGTAAAAAAATATAAGATAGTTAAAAAAAAACAATGTTACCGTTGATTAATGTGAAGATGAACTTTTTTGCTTGAATATAGGCAGATTGTTTTATTTTGTTGTAATAAATGGCAGTGATTGGAGTCTTTACTGATGAATCTGTGTTTTATTACTAAAATAAAGCCCTAACTTCCAGATCCTTAAAAAAAATCACAAATAATTGTATTTTAGCACACAAATGGTTATTTACATATGCACGCCTCTGAGGCATATGTTAAGGCTTTATGTATCTCTAAGACAGATTAGCCTTCTAGGGTTAAAGACAGACTAACAGTTGGGAAACGAATATACATGTGCAGAGGTGGGCGGCGCGACCGTATGGCAGCGCACTCCACTCACTACACGAGTCTGCTGTAGGTACTGCTGCTGTTTTATACTACTTATTTAAAGTGCCGTTTGCGAAAAATATATCTTTAATGGTGGATTGCTGTTATAGTTATATGAGTTAAGTATAAGTAAACTTGAATTCAAATGACGGCCATGCTTATATTTCCCTTATATTTTTTTTTTGATAAAATTGTTTATTCGAATGCGAATAAACTACATAATTAAATTTTAACAATCGAAAACTTAAAACATCTATAAAAAGAAAGTGTCACGAAAATATTTGGCAGTGCAACACTTGTAAAAGTAAATTTTTTCCTTATAGTAATAAAAAATGGTCTTGTTCAATAAACGTTTTTAACTTATAAGTACACATAAATTATTATGAGTATTATAATATCCAAAATTATTTTCTTCTCATTTTCGTGACAACCCTTAGCATATACGCCGACCGCGTAAATACCTACGCGGGCGGTGGCGTCGCCTGACATCAAAGGCGTTTCACAACTCTCAGGTATATAACCTATTCTTCAAATTTTTGCAGCCCAGATATTGTCTTAAGATTTATATTACTATTTGCGGTATGAATTTACAAGGTCAATCCAACTTATTAAAAAACCTAGCACGCCCAGTCAAGCACAAGTAGTAGCAGAAACTGGCTTAATCACACAAGCTTTCAAGGTGCATTTTGTACCTCCATGAGCCCGTAGTCTTAGTCTTTAAAGGTAGTACAAGAAATATTGCAAATTTAAGGCAAGCCATGATTTAATGAGGATTAAATTGTTAACAATACTTTGTGACTGTGAAGCATCAGCCGGCCTTTGACATAATATACAGAAAAATAAAAAGCTAAACTCAAAGATTTGCCGATTCTGCTGCTTAAAGGAAGAATAACCTCTGCTCATCCTAATTGCTTGTGGAACCTTAATGCACATACGTAAACCTCACCTGGAAAACTACATATATTGAAACGCCTAATTGTCATAGTGCATGCGTGTTATAAATGTAAATTATTTTAAATATGAATTCAGTCAAATCAGTTCTAATATAAGACATAGTCACATACAACAAAATTAGATCGTAGACCAATATTATAAAAAAACAACGACGAGTTTATATAGTCCAATTGAAGTCAATAACATTATGTCAGCTTTGAACACAGGCGCAGAGTAGCCAGCCTCGCAGTATTCTATAAGATGCATTTTGAGATTGTGCGCAGGAATTACATGCCTTAATTCCTCCCTCCCCTTTCAACCATCGGACAACCAGGCGGTCGGCGGGCCTTCACCCCTTTGTTGTCGATATTCCACACATTAGAACCAAACAGTTTGCTTCGTCTTTCGTAATGTATAAAGCAAAGGAGTGGAATAATCCGCCGGCGCCTGTCTTTCTGTCCGATTACAATTTGGGCATCTTCAAGGCAAGAGTGAATAGGTTATTGTTACGCTAAAACAGTACGATTTACCATCTAGGGCTTCAGCACTACTTACCACCGGGTATAGTCAAGCACTAGCTTAAATTTAATATTTACAAATCGCCTTAAACAGAATTAGTTTTACATGGATTTGATAATGTTTTATTTCGTATTATAAATAAGGCAAAATTTTTCCATTTGATGATTACACATGGAATATGCCAGTTGTATAGTTAGTACATTTGTAATTAATGCAACTTATTAAAAATATCCTATCGCTTGATCCGCTTCATATACTTTTACTTCATCTTTTTTCATGACTATTTCGGGCCTGTAAATAAAATAAACACACATGTAAAATAATCCATCCATTCGTCTGTTAATATATATAAAAGTCCTATAAAAGTCCACTCCTCACCACATAGGCTTTCTCCATAAATTGCCTCAGTGTGGATTGCTTCATAGTGGGGATTGTCTAATAGTGGGGATTGCCTCATGGTGGGGATTGCCTCATATTGGGGATTGCTCATAGTGGAGATTGCCGCATAGTGGGGATTGCCTCATAGTGGGGATTGCCTCATAGTGGGGATTGCCTCATAGTGGAGATTGCCTCATAGTGGGGATTGCCTCATAGTGGGGGTTGCTAATAGTGGGTATTGCATCATAGTGGGGATTGCCTCATAGTGGGGATTGCCTCATAGTGGGGATTGCCTCATATTGGAGATGGCCGCATAGTGGGGATTGCCTCATAGTGAGGTTCTCCTCATAATGGTGGTTGCCTCATAGTAGAGATTGTCGCATAATGGTGATTGCCTCATAGTGGGGATTGCCCCATAGTGGGGGATGCCTCATAGTGGGGATCGCCTCATAGTGGGAATAGCCTCATAGAGGGGATTTCCCCATGGTGGCGATTGTCTCATAGTGGGGATTGCTTCATGGTGGGGATTGTCTCATAGTGTTGATTGCCTCATAGTGAAGATTGCCGCATAGTGGGGATTGCCTCATAGTGGGGATTGCCTCATAGTGGAGATTGCCGCATTATGGGGATTACCTCATAGTGGAAATTGCCTCATAGTGGAGATTGCCTCATAGTGGGTGTTTATGCCCAAAATTTGTCATTTTGAACGCCATCCAATCGCGTTCGAGTTGGCGCGTCACCCGATGGTATGTAGGTGAGGTAAACGCCGCCAAGTGGGGCGGCCGTGTGCGGCTTGCGGTGGCACGACGAGTAGGCGAAGAGGTAGTAGCTCGCTGGCCGCGATGCGGTGAATCCGCGTATCTCGGTTATCGCGGCAGAAGTTCACGCGACCGGTGTAGGGTCCAGATGGTTAGATTTAGTGCGTGTTACTTCGCTACGTAATGGGTTTCGTGAAAACTGCCTCGGATTAGGTTATCTAGGGTTAAGTTTTGACAAGAGGCTTTTATTGTGTTCGGCTGATTAAAGTAACTTCTTTGAAAGTAACTGTGCAAATTATATAGTGATTGCGTTTGAAGTGAATTTTGCAATATTTAACTTGCTCGGGTGATGCGGAATTTCGCACGCGCGCGCCGAGTAGATATACGGTCTAGGATTCGAACCGCGTATTCCTTGTCCGAGAGCGTCTCCCGGTTGATTGTCTGGAAATCATTGTAATTGTGCCGTCGCGTAAAGTGCCCTTTTTTTGTGTGTTGGCTGGTTCGTTAGTTTTACGTGTCAACGAGGCGTATTTTGAATTCTTATCGCGGCGTGGTGTTAGATGTCGAACGAAGGAACTTAGTTATGTTTAACGCTGAACCGTGTAACTCATGAACAGATCGCGTTAGTTCCCTATTTATAATTTTGGCGATAAATGTATCCGGGACATTGAGTGTTGAACTTTGAACTACTGTCGGTTACTGTGTCGAGTATCACGTGTTCGATTCTACGATGAATGTGGAATTAGGCGAGTATAAGTTAGTTAAATGTACAATGAAGTTAATAGACTGAAATAGTGACAATGGGGAAAGAAATGGTCCAGCGGTGGAGCCTGCTGGAGCGATGCAGCATTGTGGGGCAGCCTGGAACTCTGCCGCTGCTGGTCTCCTAAGCTGGTCCAGGTCTCAGACACATACACATCACTACTTGCCATGCACCTTACACCCACTTACGGCCTGATCGAGCCTTGGGGCGACCTTAGAGTCGGAAACAGGTACGTACTATATTTTCCTAGCATTCTCCCATGTGGCCATTTTGGCCCGACCTGCGGCTGCTCGTGGAATCTTCCGCTCATGGACCCCGGAATATTCGAACTTTGCAGGGGCAGCTGTAGGCCGTAACAGTGGGGATTGCCTCATAGTGGAGATTGCCTCATAGTGGGGATTGTCTCATAGTGGGGATTGCCTCATAGTGGGGATTGCCTCATAGTGGGGAATGCAACATAGTGGGGATTGCCTCATAGTGGGGATTGCCTCATAGTGGGGATTGCCTCATAGTGGAGATTGAAGCATAGTGGGGATTGCCTCATAGTGGGGATTGCCTCATAGTGGGGATTGCCTCATAGTGGGATAGCCTCATAGTGGTGATTGCCGCATAGTGGGGATTGCCTCATAGTGGGGATTGCCTCATGGTGGGGATTGCCTCATCATGGGGAATGCTTCATGGTGGGGATTGCCTCATAGTGGGGATTGCCTCATAGTGGAGATTGCCGCATAGTGGGGATTTCCTCATAGTGGGGATTGCCTCATAGTGGAGATTGCCGCATAGTGGGGATTGCCTGATAGTGGGGATTGCCTCATAGTGGGGATTTCGCCATTGTTGCCACATTTGGCAGGCGGATTAGCGAGCGCCGTATTTTTATTCTTCTGAGTTATTATTAGGAAGGTTCTCGTGCCCAACTCCTGTTTTAGTATCCTTCTGTTGCCTCTTACGACATGAAGAAGTGGAAATTCTTACACCGCTTCCTACACGGATTAAATAATAGTTTGCGTATTAAATATTCTAAAATGTCTTTTGATTAGGTTTGGATAAGGTACTATATTATAACAAGAAGCGAAATATAACAAATCATATTTTCTACCGCAAAAATGAATTAGTTTAAATTCGACTTAAAGTCGTAATAATTAAAAAAAGTACTACGTTATGTCTGAGTTACATAAATAAAAAGATTTTAAAGTTGAAGATAAATTATTGTAATGTATAATTTATATCTCCATTTTCAGTCCGTAAATGGTCTAATGATGGTTAGTTAGTAAACTCATACCGCTTGCACCGGGAGATACAAGATTTATTAAATATTTTCCCTTGTACTTACCACTCCCCGTATGAGTTCATAAATTTGTTATAAGTCTTTTAACTTTTATGTCCTCTGCTGTACAAACCCCTTATCAAGAGAGTGCCAGTTGGCAAGAATTTCTTGTCCACACTTAATAAACAATGCAATATAATATAATGATAAAATAAAATCGTACTCACAATGTTATCTCCACTGTTTGTGTTTGAGCTGAAAAAAAAAGAAAGTTTTAATGCATCTTTAAATAAAATAAGATATAGTGTAGTACGTGATTTTTAATTTATTGCACTTTAATAGTTTGATAGTTTAATAGTTTAATCTGACGAGATTTAATGTTTCAAAATCAGCGTAGCTTATAAATTACTTTACATACCGATTTGTTGATAAACAGTGTGCACCATACTTTTTTTTTATTATAAGTTGGTGACAGATCAGAACAGTCCAAATGATTATTAGTTTGTGCTGTGTTCCATAGACATCCTTAATTAAGAATTAAAATGCAAATAATACGTTTTTACCCCTGACATGGAAGATGGAATGCCCGATACTCATAAAAGGAGTCTACTGAAGCGGTCTATTAAGCACTTATCACGGCTATGTCTCCTCAGTGCTTTCATACGGCCTCTTGTTGTGGGGCAACACGGTTGAGGTTAACAAGGCCTTTCGTGTTCAAAAGAAGTGTGTAAGGGCCATTTGTGGAGCTTTGTCTTTAGATAGTTGCAAACCTTTATTTCACAAATGTCACATAGTGTATCTAGTTTGTATGTACATACGGGAACTTTGTGTTTTTATTAAACAGCGTTCACAATATTTCAACACTAACTCAAGTTTAGTCAGTATAAGTGCCATGCCAAGAAATAAATTTAAGCTCTATCTGCCTCAATGCAGGCGTGATATAAAGTTAAAGTTACAGCCTATACACGTCTCTCTGCTAGGCACAGGCCTCTCCTCATTTCTGAGAGGGTTTTAGGGCAAGGAAATGGCCGCCGCGCTGCCCCAATGCGTGTTGGCGAACTTCATGTCTCCGATTTTTTTTTCTTATTTCTCAGACATGCAGGTTTCTTGACGATGTTTTCCTTCACCGCCGAGCACGTGGTAAATCAGCACTTAAAATTGCAATTAACAATTTCATTGGTGCCGGCGGGGTTCAAATCCGGGTTGCTCGCGTACTGTGAAATTTAAAGCGATCGCTAACCATCTGAGCTACCACGGCTTGATATATATAAAAGAAATGTATTTATAAATGCTATCAGAGCTTACAATAAATTGCCTAACACTTTTAAAGACCTCCCTTTCGTTATTTTTATATAAATATTTACATAGTTAAGTCATTTAATTTTTGACATGTATTTATTGTAATTAAAAAACTTGACGCTAAAATATTTTTAATTAGTTACAAAAGTATTTTTCTTTAATAATTTACTTCATTAAATTGTAATAATAAAAATATTTTTATATATAGTAAAGATATTGCACGCCGCCATTATCATGGTAGAATGTAAGATCTTATTAATAACTAACAACATCATAATATTATGTACGAGGGTGGATTGAAAAGTACTCGGCCTAACACAGATCCATTCAATTCTAAAAATCAAATCTATCCACATTATTTAGTTCAGTTCAGACTAGTTCATTGTGTGAAGTTCGAAACGTGTGCGATAATTAGTTGTGATTTTATAAATTTATTAACAAAGTAATCGGACATAATTTCCGCGAATGGAGCAAATCGAGCAGCGTGCCGTTATTAAGTACCTCCATAAGAAGGGGCTATCATCAAAAGCCATCCATGATGACATGGTCAGTACATAAGGCGATTGTGCTCTGTCATATTCATCCGTCAAAAAATGGATAGCAGAATTTAAGCGTGGTATAGAGAGTGTGAAAGATGAACCCCGCTCTGGAAGGCCTTCGACGTCAACTACTGACGAAAATATTAAAAAAGTACTTGATTTAATAATGGGAGACCGCAGATTAAAAATTAGAGAGATAGCCGAGATTATAGGCATCTCTTATGAACGAACTCAAAACATCATTGTCAACGAGTTGGGTTTCCACAAGGTGTCTGCGAGGTGGGTTCCGCGACTGCTTTCAGTTGAACAAAAAAGGACGCGATTGACTATTTCACGCGACTGTTTGGAGTTATTTGAAGCTGATGCAGATGATTTTTTGAATCGTTTTGTTACTATGGACGAAACATGGGTTCATTACTGTACACCGGAAACAAAACAACAATCAAAACAGTGGAGAAGACCTGGTTCACCACCCCCTAAAAAGGCTAAGTCGATTTTGTCGGCAAATAAGGTGATGGCTTCAGTATTCTGGGACTCGAAAGGTGTGATTATGATTGATTATCTTGAAAGGGGTCAGAATATAAACTCTGATTACTACGGCACCTTACTACGTCGTTTACGAGAGGAAATAAAAGAAAAACGTCGAGGAATGCTCAGAAGAAAAGTCCTGTTTCATCAAGATAACGCCCGTGTTCACACGTCAGTACAGTCAATGGCTGAAATTCACAACTGTGGCTTTGAACTGTTACCGCATCCGCCGTATTCACCTGATCTGGCACCATCAGACTTCTTTCTGTTCCCTAACCTAAAAAAGCACTTGGGAGGTCAAAGATTTTCGACAAACGACGAGGTCAAATCAGCTGTAGACGCATATTTTGACTCTAAGGAAGAATCATTTTTTTTCAACGGTCTAAATGCTTGGAAGGGGAGGTGGCAAAAGTGTATTGAACTTGATGGTGATTATATAGAAAAATAAAAATATAACTGATTTAGTATGTGTTTATTTTCTTGGTTAGGCCGAGTACTTTTCAATCCACCCTCGTACTACATTCTGGAAAAAAATAAATTTGAATTTGAATGAGTATCTGGTTCTCGTCGAATGCCATACAAAACACTGCATTATATTGCTATTTCCATTATCAACCCTCTGAAGACTAAGCTTGAATATTATCAGTAAAAAGAGTTCAGTAAAAGTCACTGCGGGTGAGTTTGGCTACCATTAATAATAATAATGCATATGACATACCAATTTGCGGTTGCTGTATTATCGCAGTGACGTCAGAGAAGTACACTGTTTGATGCGTCTGTATGAACTCCTTGCCCTGGTCAATAAAAGTGGCTTGCACCGGGGCCGGCTGGTTCACAACTATTTGTTGCTGCAATCGCCATTTATCCATGACCTCACTGTCCTCTTGTGTCTTCTGTAACCTCTCCACTTGTTTGTAACTTGGCTCCCCTCCCAAATAATCTCTCTTTGTTCGATTGTGGTTACGGATCTCATGTTTTCTCAAGTCTGATCTGGAATCATGTACAAAGTAAATATAAAATATTTAACATTAAACAATGTTACACACCCAACAAATTTAACATTAAATCTATTCGGCGAAAGTTGATAAAAATTATGAAAACGTCACGCAATAGGGACTGTCGCTTAAGTATCGCAATCAGTGGGACGGGCGTCGCGATGTTTTTTATTATCTATGAACAAAAATGATTAGGGGGCCGCAACTTGCTCGTGCTTTTTTATTAAGTCACACCACACATACTTTAAACATAGCAACCCAATAATGGTTACGGATATCAACTGCTAAAGTTAAAAGTCGTGGGCTCAAATCCCTCATTCGACTACTGTCGTGGACGAATCCTAACACAAACATTTTAAATTTAGTGTTATGAGTTAATATTAGTAGTGTTAATTGGTAAGTATCTTGGTAAAGTCACACTGCAGCTATATTAGTAGTATAATTGTAGCAGGAATGAATCTCACACAATACTAGTGTAAAATAGCAGCTCAATGCTGCTGTTTCGTAAGGTAAGTGTAGAGAACCGGAGACCCTTTTTACTGGAAATGAGGCATTTCATCTTAGTCCTCACGGGTGACAGTTCATCTGCATTTTGGTTCGTAATTGAGGATAGCTGTAGATGTCTATGGACCGCGGCAACTACTTACCATAAGGTGGACTGTATGCTCGTTTATCACCCTTATCATATAAAAAAAATTAAAGATACAAATTAAAAAATATTATTTCTTTTGCCCATATAAATGTTTGATTTTAAAAAATAATAGAAAACTCACTTGTAACAAAAATCCCGCCCACAGAAGTTGCAGGTATGCTTTATATTCATATGCGCAGCATTGTGGTGTTCTCGTAGTGCCGAGTTGGTCCGAAACGCTTTTTCACATAAAATACACTAAACAAATAAGAATATTTTATATATTAGCAATATAATACAATATGTTTATTTATTTATACTTTCATGCACAAAGTAGTACATATGGCGTACTTAATGCCATAGGGCATTATCTCCCAGTCAGCCAATATATAATAGTACTATAGTAATACAGTACTGAAGTAACATGAGCCTGAACTAATAATCATTTTATACGCCAAATGTAAAATACCTGGACCAGTGTTAGGAAATCGTGTTAAAGGTGCGAAACGTTTGGGTCTGTGAGCGCTTATAAACCGGGGAGATCAATATAATCTCCTATTGCCTGGAGCTTTGGCCGCCGTCTCTGTTAAAACTAGTGACCGACCGAAGATTCGGTTTCGATTTCGGCAAGTTTCGGCAAAAAAATCTAGTTTCGGTAATAGTTTTGGTTTCGGCAAAAAATCTGCCGAACCTTTGGCGGCGCCAAAACTCAGTGTTCGCGGATTATCGTGCGTCGTTCGGATGAGTTCGTGACTCTTGTATTATTCATAATTATACAGAAACAGAAACAAACTTTTTTATTTAATATAGATTATAAATAATACTTATTAAAAGTCGCCCTTTTTTTTAATTACCACTGGTTCGAAAAAACCTGTCCTTTGAAGAAACCCAGCGAAGTTGCATCAGCGAGGCCCCTTTTCTTTCGTTCCAAGGATCTACCCGGTGTTTGAAGGTAGTTACAACGGCGTCGCAGTCGCACTTAAGAGCGGCTTCTTGCGAGGCCCCAAACAAACACACTTCAATTTGTGTCTTTCTTTTTCGAGCGTAAAAGTTATCAAATAATTAGTCATCTGTGGTAAAGTCTGGGGGCATCGCATTTTAGGGGGCCTCGCGAGGTCTCTTTAAGCGCAAGGCCGTGGGCGAGGGCCCATTTCGCCCACGCTTAGCTATGACACTGCTTTCAATCATTTTTACTTATTATAAGCCAGTGCTTGACCACAATCCCACCTGGTGGTAAGTGGTGATGCAGTCCTAGGTGGTAAAAGCCGATTCACTCTTGCCTTGAAGATGCCCAGATTGTATTCGGACGGAAAGATAGACACCGGCAAATCATTCCACTCCTTTGCTGTACGCATTACAAAAGACGAAGCAAACCTTTTGGTTCTAATGCGTGGAATATCGACAACAAAGTCGTGAAGACCCGCCGACCGCCCGGTTGTCCGATGGTGGAAAGGAGAAGGAGGAATTAAAGCGTGTAATTCCTGTGCACACTCACCGAAATGCATCCTATAGAATACCGAGAGACTACTCTGCGCCTGTGCTCGAGGCTGACAAGATTGGTTTCAACCAAATCAAGGTCACCAATGAGCCTCTTAACACGTTTATCCACTAATTCCAACGCTGCCAGGTGGCATTTTGCAGCACCAGCCCATATGTGATAGCAGTATTCCATGCACGACCGGACTTGCGCTTTATATAAGGTAAGAAGCTGCCCCGGCGGTAAGTACCGCCGCACCCGTACAAGGACACCAAGTTTCCTTGCGGCTGCTTTGGCTCTGGACTCAATGAACCGTCTATAGTTGAGGTTCGGAGAAAATTCAACCCCTAACTACTGAAGGTGGTCAGTGTACTCTAAGGATACATTCCGGAAAATAGGAGCCAAGGTGAGTGGGCTCCTTTTAGCGGTTAAAACACACGCTTATGTTTTGGAGACGTTAAATCACACGAGATTGGCATCGCCCCATTCGGATACTGCCTGTAGTGTAAGATTCATACGCTCAACCACAGCCTCTCTTCCTGACTGGACTTGATCCTGACTGGCTCGAGCACTTGGTTGGTATCTCTCCACAACAGTTTTGTCGTCTGCATAACCACAGATACCGGGAATGAGCAGATCTTTTATATGCAGCAGGAAGAGAGTTGCGGAGAGAACGGACCCCTGAAGAACTCCGGCGTTTGTCGCGATAGGACAGGACGAGCAGCCATCGATGACGACTCGGAGAAATCATTCACTCAGAAAGTCTTTCACCCAGTCAATCAGGCCACGGGATAAGCCGTACGCTGAAAGCTTTCAGAGACCTTTAGAACTATAGCTGGTATACCATCAGGTCCACTAGCTTTGTTCACGTCTAGACTTCGCGAGGTTTTAAGAACCTCCTTGTTGGTGATACGGACTCACATAGAGGTACCGCAGTGAAGTAATTGAGATGGTACGCTCTTGCTACTGTACTACCAGATTTCAGAATACAATAAAAAAAAATTAACATGTCTAAATAGGTTTCGGTTTCCGTTTCGGTTTCGGCCGAAACTGACACCCAGACTGAACGTTCATTTTCGGTTTCGGTTGAAAATCCTGTTTCGGTCGGACACTAGTTAAAACCCCACCTTTTGATATGTCATGTTAAGTCAAATATTCTAAAATTTGTGTCTTCAGATCACTTGTCCCTCTCTCTCTTTAATGAGATTAGTCTTATAATCACTACCGATTTTAGCCAACTTCATAAAAGAAGGAATTTATGTTAAGCAAAATCACCGCCAATGAGGGCATCCACGACTTTTTCTGCCACCAGGGCGGCGTTACTTAAAAGTGAGGTATAATATTTGACAGATTTCATAGCGGGGAAGTTAATTTGTTCGGAAAATGTAAATGTTAATGTTTTTTTTTCTGTACTATTAGCTATATTTTGTATTAATAAGATTAAAAATAAATAAACCAAACCACAGAATCGTAAATGTAGAAAAATTAAAAAAAAGTTAAAAATGTCCAAAAAATTAAAGAGCAAAGTATTGTAGTAATACACAAACATTGTTTTGTGTATTAATATAATACTCTAGTAACTGATAAACTTTTAATAAAAACTAACTTCTCAATTAAATGACATTGTGTAACAAAAAACTTTATCTCAGTGTCAACTAGCGACATCTGGTGAGCAGAAAATAATTAGCCCTCATTAGGAACCGATTTTTCAATTCTTTTTTTTTTTTTATTATATAATCTATACCTCAAGAGTGATCCAACCTTAATATTTAAATTATAAGAAAAATTTCACCCTTATGGTAGTTATAATTTGCATGCCAAACTTTTTGTATCTCCAATTCTCTATACTATGGGAAACGCCCATGTCCAATGTGGACCGTTAAAAGCTTGATAGGAACCTACATATTCAAGCCACTGAAAAATGGCTAAGTTACATCGGAATTACATCTTATAATTAATTTCAAAGAAATATAATTAAATTTTCATACAGTACAATACCTTAAATTGTTTCTCCTGATGTGTAAGTTTGTGTTTATTCAAATTAGAGGGGTTAACGAAAGTTGCGGGACAATGCGGACATTTGTATGGCTTCTCACCAGTGTGTGTACGCATATGCATCACCAGGTAATATTTATGTTTGCACTTGTATGGGCATAGGTCACAGAAAAAATTGAAGGTGTTTGTATGCACTAACCTATTGACAAATAAATATTTTAATTATTAATAAACACAGATTGCATAATAATATTTGAACTGAAATAATTTAAATTCTTTGCAATAAATGTTTGAAGACCATAAAATGAGCATATAACCCAAATGAACTACAAAATGATTTTTTAAATTAAGCTTTAGTGAGAAACAAGCTGATAATACATCTGATTGTGACTACTGCAGCCTATAGACACGTGCAACCAACTTCAAAGAAAAAAGGGAGAGGCTACAGAGGCAGTGCACACTACTCCTTTTAGCCTGACTGACTTTAGGCAGAAAATATTTTTTTTCGATTATCCGCTTTAATCTAAGTCACAATTAATAGTCCTTAAAACGAAATAACAAAAATTACTTAGTTTTTGGTAAAAGCTAATTTTATGTCCCTGGCAATCTTGGTTTTAATTACTTTAGAATGTTATATTTTTCTACCGACGTCAAAAAGGAGCCGGTACTGAATTCGACTGTATGTTTTTTTTGTGTGTTACCTCATAACTTTTTACTGGGTGAACCGATTTCGATGATTCTTTTTTTATTTGAAAGCTGGTGCTTCACATGTGGTCCCATATAAATTTGATCAAGGTCTGACCAATTGTTTTAAGTTATTCTTAATAATTTATATTGAAGTCGGTTGTACAAAATTTTTAATCTTAAATTATTTAATTTGAAATAAAATAGCTCAAACTTACATATGGTTTTTAAGGCGGGCTATAATAGGAAACTCTTTACCACAAGTGGGACATTTATGAGGGACAGCCTGCTTATGAATGTGACGCATATGTTGGGCGATACTCAACACAAGTTGACCACAGATATCACATGCTCGACGCATACACTGGGCTTCCCGACGGTGTTCAACAAGCAGTTCCTGAAAAAAAATTGTTTATAAAATATTTCAAAGTCACAGTATGGTTTTCGTCACGGCTTATCCACTGAAGATGCTGTTGGGGATCTTACTAAAGTCATTGTAAGGGAAATCGATAAAAATAAAAAATGTATAACAGTATTTTTGGATATAAAAAAAGCTTTTGATACAGTTTCCGTACCCATAATGCTAAAAAGACTAGAAAACATTGGTTTAAGGGATAAAACTCTCTCTCTCTCTTTGGTAGCTACCTTAGAAACAGAAAACAGTCGGTAAAAATTGGAACAACTGTAAGTAAAACTGTAACTGTCAACTATGGAGTCCCCCAAGGAAGTGTGATGGGCCCAACTCTGTTTTTGATATACATTAATGAACTGTGTAATATGAAACTTTATAATGGGCAGATTTTTTCCTATGCAGATGACACAGCTATTGTATTTACAGGAGATACATGGGACTCTGTAAGGAAAACAGCAGAATTAGGTCTTGCTAGGATGGTGAATTGGCTCAATCAGAATCTACTCACTTTGAATATATCCAAAACTAAATATATTTGCTTTACCATGTACAACAGCACTCAACCTACATCTGATTTTCAAATTAAAATTCACGAATGCTCTGTCGTCCAAAGCTCTAGTTGTAACTGCTCTCAAATAAATAAAGTCTCAAATATAAAGTATCTAGGAGTAATGGTTGACCAAAGACTGTCTTGGTATTCACACCTAGAATTAATGGCAACTCGGCTCAGGAAACTTATTTGGATATTTAAGTCACTACGACATGTCTCCACGAAGTCCTTACTTAATAAAATATACATAGCTCTGGTTCAGTCAACGGTAGGCTACTGTATTCCTATATGGGGTGGTGCAGCAAAAACCAGGTTCCTTGAGCTTGAAAGAGCTCAACGGTGCTTAATTAAAGTTATGTTCTTAAAGCCCTATAGATTCTCTACAACTGAACTCTATGAATTGAGTAATTTACTTTCGGTAAGAAAACTTTACATTTTAGCAACCGTTTTAAAACTTCATAGTTCCCTAAAATATCAACCCTCATCAACGACTAGACGTAGAAAATATACAGTACCCTACGAAGATTCATTTAAGACTACGTTTGCATCAAGACAGTATACAAGACTTTCAATTTACTTATATAATAAAATAAACCAAAAAATCAATATTTATCCTATGAATTACCATGACTGTAAAAAAACCGTAGCAGACTGGTTAAGAAAACTTACTTATGAAGAAACTGAATCCCTTCTAGAAAACACTGCCTTATAAATTTTCACAATTACAGACTTCTCACAGTCATCCATACATACACACACACACACACACACGCACGCACGCACGCACGCACGCACGCACGCACGCACGCACGCACGCACGCACGCACGCACGCACGCACGCACGCACGCACGCACGCACGCACGCACGCACGCACGCACGCACGCACGCACGCACGCACGCACGCACGCACGCACGCACGCACACGCACGCGCACGCGCACGCACACGCACACGCACACGCACATACCTTACTGCATGTTTTAAATTGTGTAGAATTTCTTTATTTTTTTTTATTATTATTTTAATTATAATTTAAAGTAGTAATATAATTGCACTACGGAAGAGCGGGTCTCTCTACTACAGGTAGCTATTTACCTAAAAGAGAGTACCCAACAATATTGTAACAACTTACTACTTCTTTTAAAGCAATAAATTATTAATTGGGGCATCTATATAGTTTACTCATCTGGTTGGGCTGTATAAATATATAATTGTAAATGAAAATGATAAACATACATAAATATCAACAAAATAAAATAAATGCATAAAAAATACATAAATAAATAAAAACCCAACCAGATGGAAGCCCTCGGCAGGGGAGACCAGACGGCCGAGGGTTAGGGGGAAAGGGAAAGAAATCGGCGGACGATGCGGGCGGTATCGAGGAGCACCGCCTTCTGCATTTGAGCCTGGAGCGGTCCGTCACGGAGTCCCAGTCGCCTCAGATGACCCGGGAGGCTGACTGGGATTAACCCGTTCGCAGAAACGACCACAGGAATAATTTCGGTCGGCAGACCACCCCACATGCCGGTAACCTCGTGAGCCAGGTCCAGATATTTTGTCACCTTATCTGTTTCGGCTTTCACGAGGTTCTCGTCATAAGGAATGGTAATGTCGACCAAAAAGATCCTTGACTGTGCCCGGTCCATCAGCACAATATCAGGCTTATTCGCAAGAATAGTCCTGTCTGTGATGATGGCCCGGTCCCAGTAGAGCCTGGCGCGGTCATTTTCGAGCACGGCTTCCGGCAAGTACTTATAATACGGCAGTCTCCGATCCACGAGGCCGTATTTCAGAGCGAGCTCCTGGTGTAGAATCCTGGCTACTAGATTGTGTCTGTGCAAATACTCAGAGTTAGAAAGCGCCGAACAACCGGAGATGACATGCCTAAGTGACTCACCGGGATGGCGACAAGCTCGACAGATGTCGACGGCGCCATCCTTTAGGATGTATCTCCGATAATTGTTGGTCTTAAAAACCTGATCCTGTATCGCACAGACAAAACCCTCGGTTTCCCCAAAGAGGTCACCGAAACGTAGCCAGTGAAGGGAGGCGACTGTGTCTACGAAAGGCTCATGTAGAGCCTTGTAGAACCTCCTGTGGAGCTCCTTCTCCTTCCATACGGCCTCCCGGTCGGAAATGCACTGTACTGCTGGGTCTTGCCATTGCTCGTTGGCTAAGGATAGAGGGGTCAGTCCTTTATCACAAGAAATAACGTCCCTATAGTATGGATCATCCGCTCTCGTCAGAAAGTAATTACGGAGGCTGCACACTTCTCGATTATGCATGGTAAGCGCGCTTAAAAAGCCGCGCCCACCATGCTTCCGCGGCAAGTACAGCCTCATAACTGACGATCTCGGATGATGCATCCTGTGGGACGTCATTATAGTGCGGACTTTTCTGTCCAGAGCGTTTAGTTCGGTCTGAGTCCACCTAAGTATGCCAAAGGTATACATGAGAACAGGCATGACCCAACCGTTATATGCGTGCGTCTTATTCACACCGGACAAAAGGCTGTTAAGCACTTTGGTCAAGCGTGCATAAAACACATCGCAAACTGACTGTTTCATACCCGCCTCATCTACACCGATGTTCTGTGACATACCCAGGTATCGGTATGTTTCAGCCTCGGAAAGGGTCCTTATGTTGATGGGCATAGATAAATCTATGCCCTCGGAGTTAGCAACCCTTCCCCTTTCAACATGGAGGACCGCACACTTATCCGTCCCCAGCCCCATTCCAATAGAATTGCTAAAATCACAAGTGATGTTTAGCAATTCCACAAGATGAGGGCGACTGGAGGCGAATAACTTGAGATCATCCATATAGAAAAGGTGGGTCACTTTTGTACCTCCCCTCCGAAGCTGAAATCCCCACCCGGAGCCCTCCAGTAAGGTACTGAGAGGGTTCAGAGAGAGGCAGAACCAGATTGGACTCAAACAATCGCCCTGGAAGATACCCCTTCTTATCCTTATGTGGTTCTCCGCAGCCGTCATCCGCTCGCCTAGATGACAAAGGATCGTACTCCACTGCCCCATACACTGCCCGAGGAAGTCTCTAACTGTACAGTCAACCTTGTACAGCTCGAGGACCCTCTTCAGCCATGTATGAGGCACCGAGTCAAATGCCTTTTTGTAGTCTATCCAGGCGGCGGATAGGTTCCGACGGTTGCGTTTAACCACTTTGCCAATGACCGCGTCAATGAGGAGTGGTTCCTTGGTTCCACGACCACCGCCCCGACATCCATTTTGAGCGCGCGACATCACCTGATTTGAGTTCAGGTGACGAGTGATTCTCGCGCTCAAAATGGATGTTAGTGTCTTATATATCGTGTGTAGACACGTGATGGGGCGGTATTTGCTCGGGTCTATGGTATCCCGGTCTTTAGGAACCAAATGAGTGATCCCAGTAGTGAAGAGGCTCGGGAGCGACTTTTGGTCGAGAGCCTCTTGAAATTGTCGGGCGAGCACAGCGTGACACACCACGAACCCCTTCAGCCAGTAGTGATGCAGCCCGTCGAGCCCCGGACTTTTCCAGTTCGGGGCCCTTCGGACCGCCTCAGCTACATCGTCCGGCGTTATAATGACGGGATCCATGGGCGTAAGATTCGCACACTGACTCACCACAACTTCCGTCCAAGGGCCCTCACTGTGGTTTACGGGCTCTGACCACAGGCCGCGCCAGAATACGACAGTGTCGGCCTGATTCGGTGCTTGGCCCGTTCCACGTACCATTGGTCGCTCCAATGATTTATATAGCCTCTTCTGATCACTCTGGAAGAGACGATTCTGGTTGAACCGTGTCGACCTCTCGGTATATCGCCGAATCCGCTTCCCCCAAGCAGAGATTCTCTGCTTCAGGTCGTCTATGCGCTCCGTCAGTTTTTTCGTTATATCCGGCTGGGACAAACTGATATTTGTCCCAGCAAACGCCAACCTGACGGTGCGCACAATTCTCGGCCTATTATTGCCCGACCTGAAGCTTATCAGCCTGCCAATGAGGGCCCTTGCCTTTACGATACGGTCCTCAATCCTTCTTCTCCAGGCTGGGATGGCGCTACTTTGTCTAGTAGCGCGTCCAGCCGTGGGAAGTTTGGCGCCAACAATACGGCAAACTGTCAGTGCGGCGCCAAAAAGAATTGAGTCCGTCTCGCAAAGGTCCCGGCTGGCTTCCAAATAGGTCACCAGCATTTGGTTGAGAGCCCTCACGACAGCCCGATTTCGCTTGCTTAGGGGTATGCGCGGGAGTCGCGGTCGATTTTCGAGAGGCGTACTGCGCGTTTCCACAATCGCCTCCTCCAATTTACTCCTCATCTGCTCTAGTTCTTGGGTGACCATTCCATCATCGCCTGAATCAACTAGAGCGGGGAGATTCATAGCGCCCTCTATATGTGGCTGCTGGTCTGTGGCCTGAGGAGCCGCATCCCCAGCTATAGCCGGTTCATTCGATGAGGGAATAGCCTCACGCCGTAGTCGTTCGAGTTCGGCATCATCAAATATTTTCGAGCGTATAATGTACCGAACTCGGTCTGCCAGGTTTTGCTCCGTGACGGGAACTGACGGCTCAAGCTCAGCAAAAAAGCGATGCATCCGAGCCCGATACGCTATCCCTCCAGTTTCTTCCCCCTTCGCCCTATAGTACGCCCGCAATGCGTTAATGTTCATATTTTTTGTCCAGCGCATGCGGCGTACTCCACCAGCGGCGGGTGTCGCTTGCCGAGTCCGAGAGGACCCCGCCGACACCAAGCCGTCTGGTGGGGATGATGGACGCGAGGGGCTGCTAGGTGGTAGTGCAGCACCTCGCGCTCGGCTGGCGGCTCGCATGCTGTCACGTCCAGCGCCAGCTCCAGACGCGCCCCGGCGACCCCCAGGCAGCGGCCCTATGCGCGTTTTATTTTCATCCATCATCCATTAATTTGGGCGACAATTAACGGGAGACGCCCAGACCCGGCGCCGTTTAATAGTGTGGCCGTAAGCACAAACGGGCCTTTGCACCCTCAATACTGCCGAGGCACGGCGCTCACACCTCTTGGCAAGGCGCTGACTGACTGCGCTGACATAGCAGTTTTGTCACTTAACTGTTACGTCAGCGGGCGATGGGGTCGTCACTTCCCTACGCCGGCAAAAATTATTTATTATTATTATTATTTATTATTATTATTTGGACCATAGTTATTTTAGCATCCCATTCAGATTATGTGTATATGTTACGGCTAAATGCCAAAGTGCGGATACGCCTAGGTTTAGCCAGCTACTACTAAGTGCAGCCGATTGCAGTTGGTTAAACTTAAGTGTACTGTTAAATTTGTAAAAATACGGAAATACGTATCAAGTAATATCAGCGAGAGTAGGTTAAGGTGCGTTTGGGGTGGCCCTTGAGACACCCCAAAACTACAGATATTTACCTAATTTATAAATTATATATGATACACCTAAGTTTAACCAACCGCAATAGGCTGCACCTAGTAGTAGCCGGCTAAACCTAGGTGTATCCGCACATCGGCATTTAGCCGTAACTTTCGTAAACTATTAAGTAATCTGTGCCGTAACATGTCAATCATCTGATTACCAATGAATAAGAATGATTTATCCGCCGATTATCCGAATTAATTGGGACCGGGGTCGATTCGGATAATCGAAAATTCGGATAATTCGACATAGACTGGTAATATAGAAAAACGAACAGTCACACATAGAACAAACTTTATTAAGTTTAACAAACACAGTTCTACAATACGTAAGTAGTGCACTAGAGAGAGAGAGAGAGAGAGAGAGAGAGCATCAGCGCCGCGGCAGATAAGTAGTGTACTAGTGTCTAGCCTCTAGCTTTCAACCATAAAGGTCACAGCTCATTAGAGCCACACGGCACCCTACCCTCACCGCCTCGTCGTCAGGCGTCCACTCGTAGTCGACAGGTGGACCACGGGTGGACGCCGCGTTGTCACCAGTGAACCTCGCGTGGTCATCGAGTGGACCTCGCGTCGTCAACGAGTGGACCTCGCGTGATCAACGAGTGATCTTCGCGTGACCAACGAATTTCCGAGTAGTCTACCAGCGTTTGGCCCTAGGTGTGCACGTGTGTTCAGTGATGTCAATTTTTACAATCCGTGAATTGGCCCTCATATCTGTCAGTCTTGATGATGATGAAAATGATGAATGGGTTGGTGGAGAGCGCCGCATCGCACACGCGTGAACCGCGCGTTGCTAGCTCGCGCTTCACGCGAGGCTTCATGCCAACAGCGAGCTATCATCGAGTGGTCCACTCGCAGTCCGCGCGTGGACACCTCGCGAGCGAGGCGATCCGGTGCTGGTAGGGAGTTGATGTAGTGAGCGCAGGCCCATACAAATTCATACGAAGAATATGAACCGCTCGAGGTGAGGCGGTGAGGGTGAGTGCCGGGTGGCTCTAATGAGCTGTGACCTTTTACAGTTGAAATATATCTAGACTTGAGCGATTACATTATATACTTACTTACAGTACTTGGTTTTAATTTTTATATTACACTTAGGACCAATTCGGATAATTGGCGATTCGGTTAATCGGCGTTCAGATATTCGGCGTTCTACTGTAATATAGGATTCAGCACCATACGGCAGTATTTTGTCAGATGCTATAACCCACATTACATTTTGCAAAATACTTAAGAATACTTAAGATAAGAAACTCTTTGAATTGTCCAGTATCAAGGCCGCTGGAAGAAATTTCAATATGAAAGCAATGGGCTGCAATAACAGAATTTACAGACTTGATTTATATTGTGTTGTTGCAGTCCATTTCCAAGTATACTTTGTGGCAGCCATTATCAACCATGAGCCTCATACAAAATGCTGAATATAATTTAATGAAGCATGTAATGAGTCATGATAAAAATGTATATGTAGAAAAGGTCATGTAAATTACTAAAAACAATTAATGTTTTATTTTATTATGATAACATAAGTCTACCTATGAAATTGTTTACCCTTTATTTGTCACAATCATGATGTGAACGTTACATTAGAGGCTATCATGTTAGAATTAACAGTGACTTCATGTTATATACTACTACTCCCTGTTTTTCTCCTCTGCATGGAAGTCCAGCATCTTAAAATATAGTAACTGATATGAGGCCCTACTAATAATTTTACCTAACTAATGAAAGATCTACCTTTATATTTTGTTCAACTGAACTAATTAAGGTAAAACATAGTTAGAGTTTCAATAAAGTTGATGTAATGAATAGTGTGTAGTGGCAGTGTAAGAATATCCACAACCCCATATCCACCAGTAGGTGTTGTAAGAAGTGACATAGGGCTATCAAATCAGGAGATGGACAGCAGTCTTTCTAAGAAATCATAAAAACCTGCAGTATGGTAAATAAAACTTTTGATAGGTAGTGACAGTCAAATCTACACAACATTAACTTTTTTATGTAATGGACAAAAATAAAAGATAAACATAAATTTTCACAAATGCGAAAGTAGTACTTAAATTGCAACAATCCTCAAAAATTTTTGAAGATGGTTAGTTGTAGTAGTTAGTTGAGTTGAATTTGAAGAGTTGAATAGTTTTTGGACTCACATACTGTTAAAATTAGTGTGATGGTTGCTCGCTGAAACAGACCACAAAGCATATTTGAGGTATGTGTGCTCTCGCCAGAAAGCCTTGGAAAGTCTAACTATTAACAAACCTGGCCAAAAGCCTGTCACATGCTCTTAACACTTCAACAAATTACTTACTTTTGTAGAAAAAACTTTATCACATGGTGAACACTTAAACTCCTTGACTCTTTTCGACTCTTTTTTCTGCAACATTTTTTCTCTTCTTTTGCGTTCCTTCTCTGATTTTTGCTCCATTTTCATTCTCTTTAACTTCATTTGATGCAAAATCAGTTGAAAATCATGCTTTGAATACGGATATGAGTAAAATAATGGATCTCCTGAAATTTAACAGAAGTTTTTTAGAAGGTAGTACAATAAAAAATAAAAATATTCAGCTTAACATTATAGTGATTTACCCATTGGATTTAGCAAATTTCTAAATCTTCTATCAGAAATCACACAAGTTCTCTTGAATGCCATAGCAAGTTTCAAAGATTCCAGACAATCGGTACATATAAATTTAGGTAGAGAATCATCAAAAGTTACCTGCAACATAAAAATTAACTATACAATAATATAGGGCACAGAAATAAAATTGTTATAACTAGTGAACAAGACTAATAAAATATATTTTAATAATTTAAAAAAATTAAAACTACATATATAAAACCTGTTACATCCAATTACATATAAAAAGTCTTCAGTTTAAATTAATAAAAAATCCTGCAAATTTAAATACACTACAATCATGTTTCATACTTAGTTTATACTAAGTTTGAGATTCAGCTGCAAGAAAATGAAAACTAAAACAATTGAGTTTTTTAGTATTTATAAACATACTGCTATAATATCAAGCATCATATTAACAATTGGGAATATTTGTGAAGAACAGAGAACAATAGTGAGTTAATGCCTTGTATACTTACCGAAACATTAGTGATACTACGAATAGCACTCATTATATCAAAGCCATCAAGTTTATCACTTAGTGGAGTACAGCCACTCTTAGCACACACTCTACAGATCATGTCCTTGGCTAAGCTAACTTTTCTGAAATGTTATTAAAAAACTGTTGCCAATAACGTAGTATAAATTTTCGAAAATATTATAATATTAACAGGACAGAAGTAATACATAACTATTATAATTTAAAATTAAAAATTTTGTACAGCCGACTTCAATATAAGTTATTTAATATTTAAGAATAACTTAAAAACTATTGGTCTGACCTTGATCAAATTCATATGGGACCACACGAGAAGTACCAGCTTTCAAATAAAAAAAGAATCATCGAAATCGGTTCACCCAGAAAAAAGTTCTGAGGTAACACACATAAAAAAAAACGAAAAAAAAAACATACAGTCGAATTGAGTACCGACTCCTTTTTGGAAGTCGGCAGAAAATGGAATATGTTCAGACCTTATTTTTCTACTGTACTTCAAAAAGGAGACAGTACTTAATTCGACTGTATGTTTTTTTTATGTGTGTTACCTCATAACTTTTCTGGGTGAACCAATTTCGATGATTCTTTTTTTGTTTGAAAGCTGGTGGTTCACATGTGGTCCCATATAAATTAGATCAAGGTCTGACCAATAGTTTTTGACTTATTCTTAATAATTTATAGGGAAGTCGGTTATACAAAATTTTTAATTTAAAATTTTTATTTAGATATAACAACATTCTCACAAGAGATGTTTAAATTATTACATACACAAGATTGTCTAACTGTACAGCCTTTATTCACAAATTACTTAAAATATAAAAACTAAATAAAAGGTAGGTGTATATGTATAATCACCTAATACATAAAAATTAATGTTTGTTTGTTCGTATTTCATTTGAATGCCGTGTAGTGGCGGTTAAGAATATCCACTACCCCATGTCTTCCCGTGGGTGTCGTAAAAGGCGACAAAGGGAAACAGGCAGGAGATGGGCAGCAGCATCTTCCTGATAACAACAAAATTACAATAAAAAAACAGCGGTTGCCAACCCGCTTGCCAAGTGTGGCAACTATGGTAAAAACCCCCCCAATGATGAGAGTAACAAAGAGACGGCCCCCATTCCCCGGCGGCCCCGCTATTCTTGGCTACGGTGGCGACCATGGTAACGGCGGGGCAGGGGGTGCTAAGAATCTCCGGTGGAGGTTCGGTTGCCACCTACGAAGACTCGACCTGGCAACTTATAAGGTACGCACTCTGAGGACTGACGAGAAGATCCTGGAGCTGGAAGAAGAGATAGACAAGTCGCGCTGGAATATCATAGGATTATCCGAGGTCCGAAGAGAGGGGGAGGACACGGTAATCCTCGAATCCGGCAACTTGTTCTATCACCGGGAGGGCGACCATCTGTCCCAAGGAGGTGTCAGATTTATCGTCCACAAGTCTCTCGTTAACAACGTTGTAAAGATTGGGAGTGTGTCGACGAGGGATGCGTACCTTATACTCAGAATCACCAAACGGTATTCGCTGAAGGTCATACAGGTTTACGCACCAACCTCGGCACACCGCGATGAGGAGGTGGAGGAAATGTATGAGGATATCTCCAGAGCCTATGCATTCCTCCAAAACCCATTATACGGTGTTAATGGGAGACTTCAACGCAAAACTAGGCACAAGAGAGAACGGTGAGCTGAAAGTAGGGAAATTCAGAATAGGGCAACGGAACCCAAGGGGCCAGCAGCTGGCCGACTTCATGGAGAAAGAGGGACTCTTTATGATGAACTCTTTCTTCCAGAAGCGGCCCCACAGGAAGTGGACCTGGTCGAGCCCCGACGGTTCGACAAAAAATGAGATTAACTTCATTATGACGACCAAACGACAACTGTTCAGTGATGTCTCAGTAATCGCGAGGGTGAAAACCGACAGCGATCACCGAATGGTGAGAGGCACACTGAACCTAAACGTTAAGTTGGAGAGGTCACGTCTAATAAAGTCAACGCTCCGTCCCCCTCGTGCTCTAATCCAAAGTCCCGAAACCTTTCAGCTCGAGCTACGAAACCGTTTTTAGTGCCTAGAAGATTGCAATGCAGTGGACGATTTGAATGACAAGCTCGTGGAAACTGTCCATGCGGTCGAAGCTAAGTTTTGCACCCGACGCAGAAGAACACAAAAACTCTCCGATCACGCTCTTAATCTCATGGCTAGACGGGATATGAAGCTGCAGTCTTCAGTAGATTTGACTGCATACAGGCAACTGAACAGACAGATCTCCAAATGCATGCGGCGGAACTTACGCAACATTAATACTGTTCGAACCAGGGCTCCAAAGTCTTTGCTAGAGATCTGTCTGCCAGAAAGAGCCAACTGTGGAAGCTGAAGACCGAGCGTGGCAGCGTCATTTCGGGGACACCTGAGGTTTTGAGTGAGATTGAGAGATTCTATGGGCAGCTGTACACATCATCGTTGGAGCCACACGCAAGTGTGACTAACGATCCAAGAGCGTGTCTTATCCGACATTATTCCGATGATATCCCGGACGTCAGTCTGAGCGAGATTAGAATGGCTCTCCAGCACCTTAAAAACGGCAAGGCCTCAGGCGAGGAAGGAATTACAGCGGAGCTTCTGAAAGCGGGTGGAAAACCGGTATTTGAAGTCCTTCATAAGCTCTTTAATTCCGTCCTCCATGGTGGCATTACACCAGAGGCGTGGAACAGAAGTGCGGTGGTCTTGTCCTTCAAGAAAGGCGACAACGCTCTCTTGAAGAACTACAGACCGATTTCCCTTCTGAGCCGCGTCTACGCGCTGTTTTCGAGAGTCATTACGAATCGTCCCGCGCGCATACTTGACGACTTCCAGCCTCCAAAACAAGCCGGTTTCCGAAAAGGCTTTAGCACCATAGACCACATACATACCCTTCAGCAAATTGTACAGAAGTCCGAGGAGTACAATTTGCCACTATGTCTGGCGTATGTGGACTATGAGAAAGCCTTTGATTCCGTCGAAATTTGAGCGGTGCTGCAGTCCCTTCAGCGGTGCCAAGTTGACTATCGGTACATCGAAGTGTTGAAGTGCTTGTACAGAAGGGCTACGATAGGTATCCGAATACAGAACCAGAGTACGAAACCTATCCAATTGCAGAGAGGTGTAAGATAGGGTGACGTCATATCCCCGAAACTCTTCAACGCTGCAAAGGAAGACGTTTTCAAGCTTCTGGACTGGAAAGGATACGGTATCAACATCAATAGCGAGTACATCACTCACCTTCGATTTGCCGACGATATAGTCCTTATGGCAGAATCGCTGGAGGACCTAAGCACGACGCTCAATGACCTCAATAGTGTTTCCCATCGGATAGGTCCTAAGATGAACATGGACAAAACAAAGATCATGTTTGATGTCCATGTCACACCTATGCCGGTAGTTGTTGGGAGCACTAAGCTCGAAGTTGTTGACGAGTATGTTTACCTGGGACAAATAGTCCGACTAGGTAAGTCCAACTTCGATCGAGAGGTCAATCGACGGATTCAACTCGGTTGGGCAGCGTTCGGGAAATTACGGCACATCTTCTCGTCAGGTATACCTCAAAACTTGAAAACGAGTCTGTACAACCAGTGCGTGTTGCCAGTGATGACTTATGGAACTGAGACGTGGTCCTTCATTGCTGGCCGGATAAGAAAGCTTAAGGTCGCTCAGCGAGCTATGGAGAGGGCTATGCTCGGAGTTTCTCTGCGCGATAAATTTAAAAATGAGGATATCCGCAGTAGAACCAGAGTGACCGACATAGCCCAACGGATTAGTAAGCTGAAATGGCAATGGGCCGGCCATATAGCTCGAAGAACTGACAACCGATGGGGAAAAAGGTTCTCGAGTGGCAGCCTCGTACCGGCAGGCGAAGTGTCCCCCCACTAGATGGAGTGACGACTTGGTAAGATATGCAGGAAGTCGATGGATGCAGGTGGCTCAGGACCGTGCTTTGTGGCATTCCTTAGGGGAGGCCTATGTTCAGCAGTGGACTTGTGAAGGGCTGTAATGATGATGATGATGATTTCATTTGATGCCATACCATTCATTAGATTATGGTAAAACTTTGTAAACTTATTGCTTACACTTGCACAAAGGTTATAGGCATAGTACTGTTAACTTATAGTAGGTGACACTTGTATCATACCGACAAATTTTTTTGAATCATATATCATTCAATTTTCAAAATCAAAAAAATATACACAATCGGCAAAAACAACAATAAGAGTCGCCCCGTCGTAGTCACCATAGCGTCTTTATGGAAAAAAACACATTATATTGAGAAAAAAGGCCAATCTGCCACCAGGTATAAATGTCAAAGAGGATTACACTAAAGAAGTACTTGAAAAGCGGAAGCAGCTACAACCACAACTAGAAGAGGAAAGGAAGAAAGGAAATATCGCTTTTCTTAAATATGACAAACTGATAGTGAAGAAACCGACTGACAAAACCAGAGATAAAAGAAAGAGAGAAGATTCAATCTCACCAAACGAAAATAAACTTGAAAGAAACCTCAAAACCACCATTTGCCAAGAGTGCCTCAAAAGAAATGATAAAACCTAATAATATTCGTAATTATGTCGAACGAGGTAGAACAGTCTCACTGTCTGAAACCTCAAAAAACTAGCAATGACCACCGGCACCCGGAACAAGATCATAACAAATATGACAACATTGTTCAAACCAACCTCGGAAAAAAGCACCCCAAGCCGGCTGGTCACCGTGGGGCAAGATGACCACTACCCTTCATCAAATAACAAACAGAACAATATAAATAAAAACAATAAAAACAACCCTAGTTATGCAAACAAAAGCAAGAGTTTAAAATCAAGAAGAGAACAAGGCCTTAAAATATGCACATTCAATGTGAGATCCCTATCAACAGAAGAAAGAACTCTAGAACTAAATAATGCTAAATAATAATAGAAAAAATAAAATAGGAAATCATAGGACTCGCAGAAGTTAAAAAGATAGGATATATCATTGAAGAACATAAATACTACATATTCTGTTATATAGGAGAGACACAGGGACTTCATGGCATAGGCTTCTTAATAAAGAAATCACTAAAAGGCAACATATTAAGCTTTTTGGGAATATCAGAGAGAGTGGCTCTGTTAAAACTGAACTTCGAGGAGGGACCACTATCGCTGATACAAGTATATTCTCCCACTGATAATTCAAGTGAAGAAGAAATCACATAATTCTACAATGACTTAACAAGAGCGCAAGAACTGGCTGACAAAAACAGGTTAATCATTTGAGATTTTAATGCAAAAATTGGACAACCTAAACCTCATGAAAATCTTATAATGGGCAAATATGGTTACGGCATAAGGAACGCTAGAGGTGAACGCCTAATACAATATGCACATGAGAACAAGTTGGCAGTGATGAACACATATTTCAAGAAGAAAAGTTCCAGTAAATGGACATGGATATCACGGGATATCGGGAAGCTACGACACATTTTCTCGTCAGACATACCTCAAAACCTTAAAACGAAATTGTACAACCAGTGCGTGTTGCCAGTGATGACTTACGGAACTGAGACGTGGTCCTTCACAGCTAGCTGTATGAGGAAGCTCAAGGTCGCTCAGCGAGCTATGGAGAGGGCTATGCTCATCATCATCATTACAGCCTTTCACAAGTCCACTGCTGAACATAGGCCTCCCCCAAGGAATGACACAAAGCACGGTCCTGAGCCACCTGCATTCATTGACTTCCTGCATGTCTTACCAGGTCGTCACTTCATCTCGTGGGGGGGTCGCTCTACACTTCGCCTACCGGTACGAGGCTGCCACTCAAGAACCTTTCTTCCCCATCGGTCATCGGTTCTTCGAGCTATATGGCCGGCCCACTGCCACTTCAGCTTACTAATCCGTTGGGCTATGTCGGTTACTTTGGTTCTACTGCGGATATCCTCATTTCTAAGTTTATCACGCAAAGAAACTCCGAGCATAGCCCTCTCCATAGTTCGCTGAGCGACCTTGAGCTTCCTCATACGGCCAGCAGTGAAGGACCACGTCTCAGATCCGTAAGTCATCACTGGCAACACGCACTGATTGTACAATTTCGTTTTAAGGTTTTGAGGAATGTCTGACGAGAAAATGTGTCGTAGTTTCCCGAACGCTGCCCAGCCGAGTTGAATCCGTCGATTGACCTCTCGGTCGAAGTTGGACTTACCTAGTCGGACTATTTGTTCCAGGTAAACATACTCGTCAACAACTTCGAGCTTAGTGCTCCCAACAACTACCGGCATAGGTGTGACATGGACATTGAACATGATCTTTGTTTTGTCCATGTTCATCTTAAGACCTATCCGTTGGGAGACACTATTGAGGTCATTGAGCATGGTGCTTAGATCCTAAAGGAAAATAAGACTGTACAATCCTTCAGTGACAAACTGGAAGAAGCAATCAAAAAAAGCCTTAAAATTAATGAAAAAGCAAATAATAAACACAAAGAAAAGATCATTAGCGAACACACACAAAATTTAATTGGTAGAAGAACTGCACTTATGTTCACAAAGAACAAGTCCAAAGAAATGAGAAAGGAACTAAAGAAATTGTTCAAACAAACCAACAGATTAATCAAAAAAGATTATGCTAACCATAGAAGACAAATTATAGAAAAAAATATGTATACTTTCTGTAGTTCAAAAAGAGCCTTTAAAGAATTATCTACGCACAAAAATTGTATACAAAGTCTGAACAGTGAAAAAGGTGAAAATAAAGACAGAGAAGGTATAATAAAATGTGCAAGGGCTTTCTATACTTCTCTTTATGCAACACCACCACATGATATGCCACAAGAAGAAATATATAATAGTAATATAACTGGAGACCAATAACTGAAATAGAAATATTGACCCAAATCAAACGACTAAAAACCGAAAAGAGCCCAGGTGAAGATAACATCACAAGCGAAGCCCTCAAAATCGGAGCACCAACCCTGGCTGCATATCTAGCAGAATTATTCAATTTAGTACTGGAAAAAGAGCAAGTACCATCACAATGGAGTAAATCAAACATAATACTATTGTATAAAAAAGGGAAACTGCTCGACATCAACAACTACAGGCCTATCAGCTTACTATCAACAATATATAAACTCTTTTTATCAATCATCCTAAGAAGAATAGCACCAGATATTGACAAGAATCAGCCAATAGAACAAGCGGGCTTCCGGCCGCACTACTCAACAATAGACCACATTCACACAATGGAACAAATAATCAAGAAATATAAAGAATTCAAAAAACCACTCTACATAGCTTTTGTGGACTATTCCAAAGCATTTGACAGCATAGTACACCCATCTATATGGACTGCTCTAAGAAATAATGATGTAAACAAAAAGTATGTAAATATCATAAAAAACATCTACTCTAAAAATGTAAGTAGAGTAAAACTGGAAAGACAAGGGGAAGACTTCACAATTGGTAGAGGGGTGCGGCAGGGCGACCCGTTGTCGCCAAAGCTATTCATAGCTGTACTTGAAGACATTTTCAAAAACATTAATTGGGAAAATAAAGGCATATGGATACTCAATAATAAATTAACACACCTAAGGTTTGCAGATGACATTGTTCTTTTTAGTGAATCAGTGACAGATTTAGAAGCAATGCTACAAAGATTAAACTTTGAAAGCAAAAAAATTGGTCTACACATGAACGCATCCAAAACTAAAATAATGTCAAACAGTCAAAAGAAAAACAATCAAAGTAGAGCAAAAACCGATAGAATATACAAATGAATATGTGTACCTAGGTAAATTAGTGTCCTTTGATGCAAACAGCAACGAAAACGAAATAGACAGACGAATAAATACAGCATGGAAGAAATACTGGGCCCAAAAAGAAATTCTAAACGGGAATCTTTAATTCTTAATATAAAAAAGACTATAATGGATTCTTGCATTCTCCCAAGCTTAACTTACGCTAGCCAGACCTCGGTCTTCACCGAAAAAGTAAAAAACAAAATTTCGTCTTGTCAACATGCAATGGAACGTAGTATTCTGAAACTGAGAAAAATACAAAAAACGAAGAATGCAGACATCCGCATGAAAACAAAATTAACAGACGCTGTTAATTTTAGTTTGAAACAGAAATGGAACTGGGCAGGGCACTTGTCGAGATACAAAGATAAGAGATGGACTTACCAAACAACTAAATGGCAGGGTCCAAAAGGCAAAAGAAATGTGAGAAGACAGAAGAAAAGATGGTCCGATGACATAATAAACACAGCAGGAAAAAGTTGGATGCATGCGGCCAAAGACAGGGAAAGATGGAAAAGCATGGAGGAGGCTTTTACCCACAGGGGGGAAACCACATAACAAAAAAATAGGAAGGAAATTATTATAATTAGATATAATATATTTGTAAGAATTGGTAAGTGGATAATAAAGCTGTAATAATAATAATAATCATTCAATTTTCCTGAATGTCATTGCTAATTAAACTATATAACCCTTCTAAATTAAAAAACAATATTTCCATAATTATTTCTTATACAGCAGCAATGCGCCTGGTACCAGCTATTTATATTATAATATAGATTATTTAAAAAAATTGTACTAATTATAGGAGTTTACAATATTCGGCTCAACTGAACCCTACAATTAGTTTACAATTGGTTTAGCCATACGCCTAATTGCTGTTTGTTAAACTAGCATGTATTTGATTTATTCATAGTTAAAAGTAGGTGTTGTCCATTGTTTTTAGTAAAAGTTAAGTGTATTAAAGTCCAAATAATAATTAAAATAACTATTACTGTCAACTTTGTCAAAAATATAAAAACACCAGCAAAGCAATATTAGTGACAGAAATGCAACTGGGTGGTTCAAATGGCAGACATTTGACTTTTCGTCATCAATTAGGCAGAAACAAAGTGTAAAAAGCGGGGGACCCTACATTTTCTCTTCTTGATTTTTAAAGACAGGAGGATACATATTAAGATAATTACCACTGTAAAATATTTTTTTTTCTGCTCATACCTACGGGATTCTGTGCACCTGCCTTCCAAATCACTCAATTTTCATATAATCAATACAGAATAAATTTAAAAATTAAATAAACATACCCGTCAACAGCAAGCTTTTGCCAATGATCATCATTACTGCAGTTCTCATGTTCGTTAAAAGAATTGCATTTTGGATATTTCACCTTATTTAAATTAGACAACATAGATTTAGTTAAATAAACCGACATTTCAGTGGTCAGTGTAATTAAATTTCGTTAATACTGTCCAGCCCAGCCGTGTATTACAAATATTTACTTTCTTAGACGACTTACATTTAACTTATAATAAAATATTTATACAATTATCTTGACTTATTCTATCTCATCTCTTCATAAACTTAGTTGGTATCTCTCAATCTCAAAGTGTATATAGTTAAATAGTTTTAGTTAAGTTTACAATATCCTAGATTTTATTTATTTTGTGATAGGTATTCGTCGACAGTGACAAATGCACCAACACCATAGTTATATTAGGGATGTCGATCTGAGATAGATTAATCGAAGAATCGGTTTTGCAGGCCCAAATAATCGATTTTTTAAATCGATATGCAGTACTGAACCGATCCAGTGAATCGATAGTTCACCCTTGAAAATCAGTATTCGATTTTTTTATTTTGGTAAAAACCATAAAATTATTTACAATTAGTTGAATGTATCTGAAATATTACGCTGTTGCCTATTAAAGGGTTAATTACAACACGATTTTTATCGCAGGAAATTGTGCACCTGAAGTATGATCCTATACTTTACTGTCAAGAACAAAAAAAAACTCTAGTTATCATGACCTTTAATCAATAACCACGATGTATATATGAGTATAGTGGGATCATTTCTTCTTTGTGAGCAACTTTTTTCAATTGCTGGCAACATCGCAAGTGATGAGTAGAACCGCTTGGATCCCAGTAGACTTGACACTTGACACACAATTGTTTTTAAAAAGTTTAGATATGAAACTTGGGAACTTTAACTTTTTCGTGTAATAAAACATTTTGGAAATAAATGTCTTCTTTCATACCTGATCTGACTTGGATATGGTAATAAAAATAATTTTTTATATCGAATTCCCGGAACTAAACAAAAAACCAGACTTTACTGATAAGAGATCATTTAAAATGGTATCTTTCGTGTTTTTAATAAAACGGATTTATATTTACATTATAAATGCAAACTAGGATGAAATATCGATTTTTTATAAATCGATCTTTTAGACCTCGATTTTTGTTAATCGATCATCAGCTTACGATTTGAATCGATTTAAAATCGATCTTTTTCGGATAGAATGGACATCCCTACCATAGGTTAATAATTTTTTTTTAGGCTTTACGTCATAGACATAGTATCTTATAGACTAAACATTCAGTGACGTCATCACCGTGTGAAAGGAATGCACGTATATAGTTAGACATAAGCGTAAGGGAGAAGCAAATCTATATTTCTTGTCTTTTTCTAGGTATGCGTTTTTGATTGTTTTCCCTCCTTTATTTGACATTAACGATGTCAAGCTCTTTTGAATAATATTAATATTATAAGCAAACAGGTAATTGAATTTAGTGTTTTTTGTGGATCTTAGTTATTAAGTAAGGTGAAAAAGATGGTAAGTTGTAGCATTTTTGGATGCAACAGCATCAGTCAACGAAAAATTGATAATATTACCTTTCATCTGTAAGTTTGTTTTGTGCTTACATTTGCTACTTGTACTGATCAATATCTATTGTTTTGAATATAAAGTGTAACATTTCATGTTTTTAATGAACTTTGTGATGTATTTTGTCAAATATTTGGACTCCCAAATTGTAAATTCTTCATGATAATGCTCCTTAATTTGAACGGTCATTCGAAAGCTTAAAGTCATAACTAACGTGTACTTTTTGATTTGGTAGGATTATAGAAACTTTAGGGATATCAGCGAGTACAATAATGTTTTCGCATTGTTCAATAATAATTGTTATTATGATTAGTAGTTATGTCCATAAATATGAATCACATAATGTTATACATATACATACACTTTTATGTTCAGCTTTAAAGGAAACTCCTTATTGCCCTACAACTCTTCAATCATTTTCCATATTACATAGACTTCACAAATAATATGTAATAAGTATCAACCTGAAAACATGTTTAGATTCAAGTACCTACATAAATATTGGGCAAAGTATATTTAATTTCACAAAATATGTATTGCCTGAAATCAGATGCACAAAACTTTATTGCATTCCATTAATTCTATTATACATTAGCAACAATTACATTACAATATTTATTTAAAAAAAATATGTCATGCTAATATAAAAATAAATATAAATATAGATAAAATAATAAATAAGTCTTAATCTTAAGGTACACAATAACACAACAACATAAGATAATAATATTCTCAATTAATGATGTAGAAAAAATTTGATGATAATATACTTACTGTTACCATTAGTCAGTATCAAAAGTTATAGGTTTTGTGATAGTTGCCTAGCTTGGCAGGAGAATTGGCAACTGCAGTTATTTGGAGACAAACTGTGTGGGAGGTCTATGCTCAGCGGTGGAGGACATAACTATGTTAGGCTGTAAATGTATTAATTAACAATATCTAAAGCTTAATATGTACATGTTTTTAAATGTTTGGTATGAGTAATTGTATCATTACATTTACATATACTTGCTATTTAATTAAATCAATTGATATTGTATTAATTGTTATAGGTATTGTATTTATGCACAGATACCCATACTTGATTTTTTTTTTTTGTTAAATGCCTTGATATAAAAGTGTACTATATATTTTATATATTAATTTCTTTTAAATATATTATTTCACAGCTTTTCTAAGGAATCAGCTATCCGTAACTGTTGGATAATCGCTACTGGTAGTAATTATAGGTAACCAAAAATACTTAGCAGTATATGCTCAAAACATTATGAGCCTCATTGTTTTAGGTGGACTAAATATACTTAACTTATGTAATTTATAATATAATTAAGATATTTATTTTAATGTTATAATTTCTTGTTGTATCTTGTTGTTTCTCCATAAATGATATACGTTAGACCTTATTAGTAGTTATGATTATTGACATTGTTCTGTATGTATTAAAAATTGACTAGCATTGCTTATTTTATTTTCAAATGCTGACATTCTGTATTATTATGAGTTGTAATAATTTGGCTGCATGACAATGATAAAATATTTACTTATAGATGGATTGATTAAACATGAGTCCTCATTTACAAATATTGGAACTTTATCAGTACTACCATGTTTATGCAAATAAAGATTTAAATGAAAGAAATAAATAAATAATTTAAAGTCCTGACCTAAATATACAAATGAATAATTTATTATGCAATAATAATTGTAAAACTGCCTGGGAATGCCTACCAATGGGACATTTAGTCCACCCTTAATCCCTTTTATAAACAATAATGTGTAAATAAATTAAGAAATAAATGTAATAATTATGATAATTTCTATTTAATTGTCATAAATAATGTAATAAAGATGTTTTTGACAAGAGATAAGTATTACCTATCTAAGTATAGTTTAGGAGTTGTACCTTATTATTAATACCATTAAAATATATTATATACAAAGCATAATATATATATATATCTAACAACCTGCACCCAAGAATTTCTGCCATGCAAAAGTATAAATCAAGTTTACAAATGCATATTTTTGAGAAATTCTAAAGCTACTCAAATCAAGAATTACAACGAATACTCTAGAAAGAAGACAAAAATTTTGTTAAATTTGTTTATTAATGTGATGAAAAATTAATAAATAATCGTATGTTTATTTTAATGTTATTGAATTATATTTAATATATAATTGTGTTTTCATTTGTTTTACTTAATGTAACATTGTTAATATTTCTAAATATTGTGTAAGTACACAAAATTTAATTCTTTTTCCTTTTTAAATTTCAATATATTTTAATTTCGGTGTTATAAACAATAATGTGTAAATAAATTAAGAAAAAAATATAATATGTTATTATGATAATTTCCATTTAATTGACATAAATAATGTAATAAAGATGTTTTGACAAGAGATAGGTATTACCTATCTAAGTATAGTTTAGGAGTTGTACCTTATTATTTATACCACTAAAATATGTTTTATACAAGGCATATAATATATATATATACTCCTTTCAAATCCGATTCTAACAACTAGCATCCAAGAATTTCTGCCATGCAAAGTATAAATCAAGTTTATAAATGCATATTTTTGAGAAATTCTAAAGCTGCTCAAACCAAGAATAACAACGAATGCTCTAGAAAGAAGACAAAAATTTTGTTAATTTTGTTGTTTATTAATGTGATGAAAAATTAATAAATAATCGTTTATTTATTTTAATTTTATTGAATTATATTTAATGTATAATTGTGTTTTAATTTGTTTTACTTAATGTAACATCTATAATATAAAAATGAATAGCTGAATGTGTTGCTAAGCGCAAATCTCGAGAGCAGCTGAACCGATTTCACTAATTCTTTTTTTATAATATTTCTTGAAGTACGAAAATGGTTCTTACGGAGATAAAAATTTAAAACATTGCCTGAAAAAGTCTAAAAACAAAACTTTTCTATATTCCCTTACAAAAGATTCGTAATTATACTTAAAAGTCAATATGAACTTTAATACCTTACCTTTAAGTTTAAGTGTTAGTGGAGGGGTTCCGAGAAGGTAGTATTGTATAAATATTAATGTCAATATTTATACACTGGCAGATAGCTGATGTTATAACGAGTAACTTGGGCTGCTTTTATTTTAGAGTTCCGCGAAAAATTACTCCACGCGGGCGAAGTCGCGGGGAATAGCTTGTTGTTAATATTTCTAAATGTGTACACAAAATTTAGTTCTTTTTCCTTTTTATATTTCTATATATTTTCATTTGAATAGAATATATATCTTTACAGTCTATCAAAAGTCCACTGTTGAACATAAACATGATTATAGTTATTTGACATAGTTTCAACGCTTGGAAAGCGGGTTGTCAACCACTGTTTTTTTTTTATTTAGCTGTTATCAGGAAAATGCTGCTGTTTATTTTCTTTGATGTTTCCCTATGTCGCCTCATACACCACCCATGGAATGATATGAGGTAGCAGATATTCTTACACTGCATGGTAAATTAAAATAGAATATTATAAAACATTAGTTTTTATTTTATATTCCAACATATTACAAAAACAAACCCTTGTTGATGCTTTACAACGTATATTTACTAAAACATTTTACCACCTTAACCATTAGGTAACATGATTAAGCCACCTAACCATAAGTAAGTACCTACCCACCCACCTAAAAAGGCCTTCCCTAGATATCCTCATAGGATGACTTTTACCATAGTTGCCACGCCTGTGTGAAAATATGCGTTATGCTGGTTGGCCACCGCAGTTATTTATTATTTTAAGTTTTCATCGGGAAAGTGCTACTGCCCCATCCCCATCTTGTATTATTGCTTACGACGCGGGGTAATATCATTTCTTGTGTGCGGCAAGTTGTGGCGTACAAATTCTCTTGTACGCCACAACTTGCCGCACACAAGACACTAACTTAGCAAAACATGCAGGAAATCGCGGGAGTAGCCTCATAACCGTGTTTTGTACTACAAAGCCTAAGTGGAAAGCCTTTCTTTTCGGAGGTCTTTGTTCAGCACTGAACTTGTGATGGAATGGTATGTTAAAACATTATTGATTTTTTTTTTTTTGTAAAAACAAAACTCGAGACGAGGAAATTTTTGTTTATTATTTAACATTTTTATTCTTAATTAATATTTAAGTACATACATAACATATTGTTATTTATTAGCAATATCACACTTTGTGTTAGTAGCGTCTTCACTTAGTGCCGTCGAAATCCAGAGTTTATTGAATGTCCAGTAAAATCGTCGATGCGCCGTTGAATACAGAATGAGAGAATGAGAATTTTCAAGAGAAATGAATTAATCATTTGAATTATAAAAGAACATTTTTTTATGGTAACAATTAAGATTTTTGTATGAATGTAAGTGCTGTGAATATAAATAAACCCATAACGGGGGAAATGGAACAATATCTGGTAACCCAGTGAAAGTACCTCCCGCCTATTTCTATCTCAAAAGCATACGCGAATGCTTTATCTAGTCAATCCTCTATCTACGCTTTACGTTAATAACGTAGATAGACTAGGTCTATAGTTAATAAATATTTAGTTATCAGCGTTGCCAAAACCAATTTATCAAATTCCCCGAAAATCTAAGTCAAATTCCCCAATTTAGGAACAAAACTTCAACAGATTCCCCACTCCGTCCCCTTCATGCTCTAATCCAAAGCCCGGAAAACTTTCAGCTCAAGTTACAAAATCGTTTTTATTGCATAGAAGACTGCAATGAAGTGAACGATATGATGATGTGCTTGTGGAAATTGTCCATGCGGTTGGAGTAAAGTTCTACAAGACTTTTTGTGTTCTATTGCGACGGGCAATAGAACACAAAAACTCTCTGATCACACTGTTAGACGAGAAATGAAGCTGCAGTTTCAGCAGATTTGACAGCATACAGACAACTAAATAGACAGACCTCCAACTGCATGTGGCGGGACTTACGCAACTTTAGTACAGCTCGTATTGAAGAAGCGGTTCGAGCCGAATCGAGTGGAAGCAGGTCTTCAAAGTCTTTGCCAGAGATCTGTCTGCCAGAAAGAGCCAACTGTCGAAGCTGAAGACCAAATCAAGTAGCATCGTTCCCGGGGCACCTGAGATTTTGAGTGAGATTGAGAGGTTCTATGAACAGCTGTACACATCCTCGTTGGAGCCACATGCAAGTGTGAGTAACTATCCAAGAGCAAGTCTTGTCCGACACTACTCTGATGATGTCCCGGACGTCAGTCCGAGCGAGATTAGAATGGCTCTCAAGCTCCTTTAAAACGGCAAGTTCCCGGCGAGAAAAGAACTGCAGCGGTGCTTTTCAAAGTGGATTGAAAACCGGTACTAGAATTCCTTTTAGAAAAGAATTTAATACCGTCCTCCACGGTGGGACTACTCCGGAGGCGTGGAGCAGAAGTTCGGTTGTCTTGTTTTTGAAGAAAGACTACAATGCTCTCTTGAAGAACTACAGACCGATTTTCACTACGAATCGTCTCGCACGCAGACTCGACGACTTCAAACCTCACAAACAAGCCAGTTTTCGAAAAGGCTTTAGCACCGTAGACCACATACATACCCTTCGGCAAATTGTGATCTTGAAATGCTGATATCGTAAGGAGGGCGTATCAAATGATTCTACAATTGAGTTCGTCGTTGAGTAACGTTTATTAAGGGGCTACTCCATGCGAACGACCTTGAGCATTTGCCGGCGGCGCGCCGCTCGCTTCAATATATTGCTTATTTGAAATATGTAAGACGCCACCACCTAACGTAGTATTATTTTTTCAACATCAATGAACTAATTTATGGAAATACACACAGCGTACAACGATAAATGTATTTTAATTTTTTTATTCGGTATATTAGTTGCATTATATTAGAATTATGTCTTTTCATATATTATCTAATTATGAAATTTTATAATTAATTATATATTAAAAATGAAGCATTGAAAATTGTGAGTTTAAATGATACCTATTCACTATAGGTAAATAAATAGATAGCTCGCCTTTTGTACAAATATTTGGTGCAATAAAGAATAAATAAATAATTAGGATGTTTCGTAGATGTGTTTTTGATTATAGTTAATTTTTACGTGTCACGTAGTGAAAAGTAATATACCTACCTACTATTTTTTGAACTGAGCACCTTGTAACTTAGCCTGCTTATTACTTATGCTGGCAGACATTATCCTCACCCTAATGATTGATGAGGATGAAAATCAATTTTATTTCTACATACGTAATTATATTTATTTATACATAAGGGTAACTTTAATAAAGGTAATACAAAAATCAACAAGAAGTATAAGGGTTCAATCTTTCAATTTCAATTGTAAAAAAACGTTACCCCCACACTAGGATTTTCTCCTGTGTCTTGGAGGCAGTTTACAAACATAAATTGCACAAGGACAATCATCCAGACCCGGAACAATTACTTGTAGGCCATACAAATATTTGTTCCGTGCGAGATTCGAACCCGCGGCCCCCAGCGCAACTACTGATTGCTAAGCCACTGCGCCACGGAGCCGTCGCCGGGTTATAGCTAAAGTGACCATACGTCCCGTTTTGAACGGGACTGTCCCTTTTCTCGGTCACCTGTCCCATTGTCCCCAAACAAAGCTGCGGGACACAAAATTGTCCCGTAACTCGTTGGATGGAAGTATTCAAAGTCAAGAATCTTCAACATAATTTTTTTTAATCTAATATATTTTATGTCTACCTGGTACAAATGGTCCGGTAGAAAGAGTATTTTTTTATTTTGAATAAATTGTGGACGTCTGAAAGAAACACTTACGGTTCCAGTTCTAAAGGCGATGTTGTTAACAAAGATAACAATAAAAAAACTTGAGCAGAATTTTATTCTTATTTAAAATCATCACCAACTTTATTAAAGCAAATTTAATCCACTGACAAATGTAATCAATAATTTTAAAAAAATATGTTGCATTTAATAATTACCGTCTATACCGAATATAATTTTATAGTGAACACTTATTGTAAAAAGTTATAGTTTTTAGAGTATAAATAAACCCATGTCCTGTTTTGAGTTAATAAATAAATGGTCAGTTTAGTCTTTTTAGTTAAATTTAGTTTTAAAATTTTTAGTTTATAGTAAAATGTAGGTATATTAGTACCTACTTAGATACTTTTTACCGAATTATAAGTATAGAACACCTTATGTACTCAATTATTTTTTTGAAAAAGAAGAAAAAACAAGCAATAAATTTCGATTCGAACCCGGGACCTCATGATCAGCAGTCGCACTACGACAACCACTAGACCAACGAGGCAGTACTATGCCTAATAAGATATTGTGGTTGGGTGATAATATTGAATTAGCCTTTTATAGTGTAAATTATAATATTTGTCGAAATTTTAATTATGGATTCGAACCTTACATGCTAATGGTGCTTCATTTTTTTATTTGCATTTACTTCAAAGAAAATACACGCAAAAAGCTTCATCGCGCAGTAAAAAACACAACAAATATATATATATATATATATATATATATATATATATATATATATATATATATATATATAACTAATACGAAAAATTATACCCAAAACAAACAAATAATACTACCTATAAATAACCTAATAAGTAATAATATTATCGACTGATATGACGTGATCGTATGCGCTGGTCGACGCTCTAACGACACGGGCTTCACGTCGAAGAGCTCAGCGCTCACTGACTTCAGCAAGCCCGTGAGCAGTGAATATGCCCAGATTTTAAAATAATTTCTTAATAAAATCAAATTTTGGTCTTTTGAAAAAAAAATTACTATAGAAATGTTCATTAATAAATTGCCTATCCATTGGTGTAAATCGCAAAATAAAATAATACTTACTTTACGAGGAGATGCATGTTATCAATAATAATTTCACATTTATGTGGTTTCGTTGTAAGGAGATTATATTAATATTTATTTCTTTAAAAAAAGTTGGATATAGCTTTTATGGAATCAAGATTATGTAGGAATATAATGTGTTTTTTATTTGTTGATATATCTTTTAAATAAAAAGTAGATAGCTCCTAAAAACCGCACAAATAACGACTAGCGCGACATTTTGCTCAACCTGCGCCTTAATACGGTCGGTTTATAACTACTGACAACCATTGATTTAAAAAAAAAAACAACAAAACCTACTAACGTCAGTGTCACTTTGACATTAGTGGAGATTGTTTATTTGAGTGTATTTTTGTTGATTGTTTTCCAATATGTAATTTAATTAACTATTTATTATAATTTGGTATTAGGGTTAAATGTAAAATGACGTCTCTATTACTTCTTAAATCAATGTTACTGGCAAACTTTCTGCATAAAAATAAAAAGAAGAAAATTTTGAAAACTAAGAAATCGTAAATATTGCTTACATAGTTGTAGTGTTTTTAACCCTTCCTATCAGTTAATTCTACAATAATATAGATTCCTTATACCGAATTTAAAACTTAAGCAATTTAATTTTGGGTTTCAGTGTTACTAAAAAAATAAATTTTAAAGTGTGTAGAATTTGTAATGAGGAAAAAGGACATGTTCCTATATTCAATAACTTTCTTCAGACAAACATATCTGAAGAAATTAGAAACTTTTCCGGTGTTACTGTAAGTATAAATTATGCTATATTATACCTATAAACAATGATATCTTGTATTTACTATTTTTATGATAGTGATAGTAATGCTAATATAGTATGGAATTCGTGGACTTCTAAAGCTCAACTTCTAAAGGTTTATTTTAGATTAATCAAACGGATAACTTGCCTCAACACATATGTCAAAACTGTTTGGATCTGCTGAATGGATGCATTATGTTCCGTGACATGTGCCAGAGAAATCATAAGAGATTGGAAGAACATTCTTTTAAAAAAGGTAAAAAATTTGAATATAGGCAGAAACAAATAATAAATAGCTGTAAAAACATAACAACATTGAGATCAACAGATCTCAAATTGTCCTGACTAAGCTTTTAAAATTAAAAACTTTATAAGTAAAAAGTTTTTACTGAAACATGTTATGAAGTATAATGTTAGAGAAGAAGCTAACTCCACTGTATAGTTGTTATTGCTGGTCATATTTCCTTCAACAGACTTGTTTTGACCATGCTATATAAGCAGTTGCATTTAGAATAAGATTCATTATAGAACTCATCATAGTCATGTAATCACTTAGTTAAGGAATTTAGTGTTGTACTGAATTAGTTTTAATACATTATTGTAATGTAATAGTAATAAATGTCATTGAGACATATTTAGTTGTTTTAAAAAGCTTCAGCACCACTCCAGAAACATAACTACATACACTTTGTCATTGACACCGCAAAGGGGTGAACCTCAATTTTTCAAAAAATTACAGGAGAGCAAGAAAACATTTATTATTACCCGATTACTAGCTTTTTTTCATCAGAAAATTAATCTTACGTCTAATATATTTAAACAACATAAACAAAAACATATTTCTGTTTTAGAACACAAATATGAAATTGATAATAGTCATTTACAAGACAGTGAAGATTCCTATAATATTCCATCACCTGCATTTTCAGAAGATAATTCAGAACTATGGAGTTGTTCGACATGTAGTCAAGAGTTTGATGATTTGGTAAGTTGAATTTTTTTTTGGAGTTTCCAAATATCCTATTTTTTGAGATGCCTTTATACAGGGTAATTTGGCAATAACCAGCCAAATTTACAGAGAAAGTTCAGAATAAGTAATATAGGGCAAATGGTGAAGAAAAATTAATTAAAATAAATCTCAAAAATTCTGTCCTATTTATCTTTTAAATTGAAAATGCATGGTAATGCATTATTTTAACTGATTTTACTGCACACAAACACATTCGTAAGGGTTGATCGGTAGGCACAAACATTGTTGCTCATAAATCACATTCAAAAACTGCAATTACGGTATATCATTATATATATTTATTTGAATTTATAATCCTTTCTTCTTCTTTGTTAGCCTTTTGTTCAATACTGGATATAAGCCTTTCTAAGAATGTGTCAAATGACACAATGTAAAAGATTTACTTCTTTTTACCTAGCTGGACAGGTGATTTGGTGAGTCATATCTATTTTCTTGGGTTAACAACCAGTGGGTCCACCAGTGAGTACAGAGGGAACACCTGTTATCCCATGCACCCACTGCATTACACTTTGTAAATAATTTATATTTATTCTGGAAGAAACCCCCTTTACCTTACAGTAAAAACTGCATCAAAATCTATCATGTGGTTCTCAAAGTTATTGCATTTTATATATAAAGATATGTAAAACTCCACAGCTTTGATCCCACCTCAACCTACTGCTGCTGATATTTCTTGAAAAATGCTTTCATAGTTTTGAAAACTTAATAAAACTATCATATTGCAGTCTGTGTATGGATGAACATGCATTTCCCCTTCACCCACTGGTATGTGCCCCTGTTGTCACCTCTAATTTCATTCCTATTTAAATTCAAAATACATTTTAATCCAATCTAAATCTACATTTTCTAAACTTTTGTGTTATGATGGTTGTGAATACTTGTATGACATTTTAGACAACAATAATTTTCACATTTTCTTAAAGTTGGCTACTACAATACTATGCCTAAGTACTAAGCATTACTGATATGGAACTTTAGGAACTTTTATAAATAAGGCTCTTATATTTCTTTTTTCAAAAAAAAAGGAAATTTTCGCTTTACACATAAGTAGTATTTTTTGATAAGAACAGTCTTTGCAGTAAAAATATTTCATCACACATCTTCTGGTAAAAAGTATAAAAAGAATATAATAAAAGAAAAAAAAATCAACTTTACTTTCTTTCCCCGCTCGTTTGCTCATCAATATTTATTCAAAAGCACTAGGCCTTAGTTTTAGCACTGCAGCTTTTTTACATTTCAGTGGATTAGTATGCATACCAAATATTTTTTCTAAGGGTTCTTTATTTGGGGATTTCTTTTATTTTTATTACTCATGCTACTACCAGACGAAATAACAATTATGGTGTTTAATAAATGAGGACTTGTATTTTGATCTAAGGAAATGAGTTTCATTATTTTGTTTACCAAAGATGGATTTTCAGACAGATTTGATGAATGTTTTGGTGACATTCCTTGTTTTCATTGAGTTTCACATGTATGAAGAGTATTCCAAATTGAGGAATCTTTTTAGGTATCATTGGTAATCTATTTAAGAAAAATCTGATGGTGAAGATTGTGTTTCTGGTATAAGAAAATCAACTTCTTCTGTGAAAATTTCTAGTAGTTGAGTATTTGTTTCCAGAATAAGAGGTTGTGTGTCTTATGTTTGCATAATACTGTCGTAATTGTGGTTATAAATTGTTGAATGTTTATTCGAGCAGCATTTCAACAGGCAAAAATTAAGATTAATATTAATAGCTCTCATATTCTTCATTGAGTGACAAGGGTCTTGAACAATCCTCATATTGATATGCAGTCACTGTTTCTACCAAAGACATCAACTCGTGCAGGGTCCTCTAGTTCAGGTAGTGTTGCCCAAATGCAAGAACAAGACGAGACTTAGCAAGTCTTGGTCTTGGTCTTGCGCCAATACACCTGGTCTTGGTCTTGGTCTTGGTATTGCGCTCCCAGTCTTGGTCTTGGTCTTGCAGCAAGAGTCTCGCAAGTCTCGCAATGATCTATTATCCTATTACTATTTATTAAACGTTACTTTAGATCTTAGAACAACTTAACAGAGTAGTTACATATTGAGCTTGAATTAACATAGCCATAGTAAAGATATTAATAAATGTCTAAACATTTAATGAGAAATTCGAAAAATCAACTGACACCGGGTGGGGTTTGATCCCACGACCTAAACGATCCGTGCCGATGCTCTAACCAACTGAGCTATCTACCGTGTCCCCACGGCCACGGGCGTCAGTTTCTTAATAAACGTTTACATTTAATAAGCTTACATGTGCTAAGACATGGTTAAACATACATATAAAAACAAATTAATGGCAATAACTACACTGTATTTTAAATAACATTATCTCTCTAGAAAGAGATTGATGGACCCTCACCATATATGAAATGGAATAAAAGAGTTATACAATATACCATTTATTTAAATAAAAAGTAAAATACGATGCAAATTAAATTACTTCACAGTATGTACACAACAGCTTTGACATTACTGTTACTTTATATTTATTCTTTTGACAAAGCATTAATACAGAGTAAACATCTGGCTGACTCATCACTTAACCTATTTCTATGTATTCTAATTATGATTATGTTTAATAATTACTAATGATGCTTTAGAAAATAATCTCTCAGCAGGTACTGAAGTTGCAGGTATTAAAAGAAAATCACGGGCCATCTTCGATAAAATCGGATATTTTGTCTCATGCGTCCTCCAACAGTCTAAAATGTCTTCCGAGAGGTCGGCTCTGGGTTTACCTAGGTACCCCTCCAACTCCTTAATAACTAAGCCTTGAAGACAAGATCCAGATCCATTTTTACACATTTCAAGTGTTTTAAAAGTGCTATGGTGTCAACCATATTTATCAAATGTGTGACGACATATTCGAGCACTTTGTGTTTTAAAAACACACACTTGCAAAAGTCGAGATTTGCAGTGAACTTACTGAACATGTTTATCTTTTAGGTAATAATAATAACAATAATAGTAAGTAATTATTATAAATCCATATAGTTAATTTTATAATAATTACTTACTAGAATAAATTATTATGATACCTACCTATTATCTAATTACAATATTTCTTGCGAGATCAGGATAATGTATTCGTATCCATTCTGAGCACCCGGAAACTTATTTTATTCTTTGAAACATGTACTCCGTGGCGGCAATCAAACAGTGTCAAATGTAGTGCGTGTGGCGCGGCGGCGACGATTATGCGATATCAATAGTAGCCGCCGGCACGTGTATCTTGACCTTGTACTTTCGAATAGCTGCATAATTTCTTTGACAGGTCAGTATCCGACCTTTGATGACGCCGACAACAAGACGCCGCGCACTATCAAAGTGCCGATGGTCAAAACTAGGGATGCACTCTTTTTTCTTTTAATGGATATTTTCATTCGCTATGTATATTTATGGTATTGTTCCATATTGTTCGTAATGCGCATAAGTCCAATTTTCCAATTTTTTTTCATTACATTTTTTTGCATCTCGTAGAATCCCTAAGCGTATACCCGAACTCCTATACTCCCTGAAACGACACTTAGTCCTAACTGCAAGACGCAAGAGTCTCGCAAGCTTAGTCTTGTTCTTGCGCAAATCTTGCACGGTCAGTCTTGGTCTTGGTCTTGCTTAAAAGAGGCGGTCTTGTTCTTGGTCTTGGTCTTGCAAAAACGCAAGAACAAGACCAAGACTGCAAGACCAAGACCGATTTTGGGCAACACTAATTTCAGGTGTTATAGCAGTGACTAAATTTTGATAAATTTGGAGTTCATCTTTGTTGAACATCTTTTTCGGAAACTTCTTGGCGTCTATTGGAAAGATACCAGTGCTTTCAAAACCAGATTTTATATTTCGTTTTTTTTATAGGATAAGGGTGACAAACGAGCACACAGTCCACCTGATGGTAAGTGGTTGCTGCGGCCCATAGACATCTACATCTATCTATTACAAATCAAAATGTAGATGCGTTGTCACCCGTGAGGACTAAGATGGAATGCCTCATTTCCAGTAAAAAGGGCCTCCGGCCACCTGCACTCACCAAGCGAAACGCAGAGGTAAACCTCTACTTCACGCTGGTTTTCTGTGAGGTCGTGGTACCACCCCGGTTCGAGCCGGCCCATCCGTGCGACAGCAAAAGCTGCCGCGTAGCTCTACCACTGTTAACAACGTTTGAGTCAAATCTTGTTCTCATACTTGGCCCAGCAATTCTACGAATTTGTCTCTGCCCAGTGCATTTACCCATTTCTTTTATTCCATGATCCACAAGCAGTTTATCCCAAGCGGTTTTCACTGGACTAAAGATACATTTATCAAGCGGTTGAATTCGGTCTGTGAGATGGCTCGGAAATTTCATGAACGTGATGTTCGCCTTTGTGGCTTCTTCTACAATTCTTAAGCAAATGTGACCTACTTGCCCGTCGTAAATTAAAATCGATTGCTGCTCTGCTTCATCGCGACTTTCTCGTAATTTATTCACGTAAAGTATAAAATCAGTATTGAACCAATAATAAAAGGTTGGCTCCTCCATCCAACCATTTCTAGTTGTATAGAGTTTTTGGATAAGCTGCCTCAAGAGTCCACCTAGGTTGTACAGTAACACCTTTAAAAACAATAAGCGGTGGCATTTATGAGCCGTCTGCGGACACGCAAGCTAGAACTGTAGTGGATTCACAGCCCGAACCACCTGAAATTCATAGACATAGACATGCATTTATTCGTGAAAGTGGCACGTGTTTCTTTCCTGTCCTACGTACTTTATTGGGATCGGTAAGGAAGCCACTTTCGTCTGTGTTGAATACGTACAAAGGCTTGTTTTCAACTTTTGCCTTCTTTATTGCACCATCTAACAAATCGTAAAAATGGTAAACACCATGTAGCTTACGTGCATCAACACAGGCTTTCTGTAATAATACTGTTTTTTTTCAATGAAAGTTCTGGGTGTCGA